GAGATAAAAAAAAAAAAGCCTTTTACCAGTGGGTTCGGATACAGCCAAACCCTTCAGTCTGTCATTGAAGCCCCTCCTGATGAGACGCTGCCTACAGCCTGGCTCCCCCACCCCCGGCACCCTCTGTGTATGTCCCAGACTAAGTGACACTAGCTGCCCGGGCACTCCGTGAGCTCCGTTGCACATTCTTAGCTTCGTGGCTTCGCTCGTGTTTCCCTCCGCCTGAATACTCTCCTCCCCACCGTCGCTGAAAAACCCGTCCAGCCCCCACGCTGTCTGCAGCCAGCGCCACCGCACTCGGTGCTCCCGCAGCCCGAATCACATTCCGTCTCGTGCAGAATGGGAGCTCATCTTTGCCTTCCTGGTGATCCATCATGGCACCTGGCATACAGCAGGCAGTCAAGAAAGTTAAATTACTTACTGCAGAATCACTTATCAAGTGGCCTAGACGTCACGCAGTCTCTGGTTCTAGGTGCCGACAGGAGAACTGATTTGTAAACACGAGAGCTATCGCCAGCCAGTTCCTGGGCCCGGCTAGTCCTCAGTCATCAACTCAAAGCAGGCACCTTAAGCTGTCGCCAAGGAGGGCCTGCTGCTACGCACGCGCTCATGCAGCCTCATATCTGTGGTCACTGCCAGATAAGCAGTGTCGCCTGGGCCCTGCAGCTTGGCTCCTCTGTGATGAGGTGAAGCTCTGTCACCCCTGTGTCTCTGGGCTTCAGTGTCTCCATCTGTCCTGAGCTTGTGGATCCTAATTAGAAAGCTCTTAGAGATTCCTGAAAGGACTGTTATTGTTCTTGATACAAAGGGTATTATGTCATGGTGGTATAAAAGCACAGCAAACAATATGAACGAGGAAATAATAAGGGCACTTATTCCCAAAGCACATTGATTTAACCACAAAAGCTCATTGGAACAGAGCTCTAGGATTGTAAAAGCCTAAGCAATCAGCAGGCCCTGTGGGAGGGGGAGCCCATGCCAGGAGCTGCTGGAGAGTTGATGTGATTATTCTTGGCAGGCCGGTTTTCCTCCTCAGGTGTTCTCACTTTGGTGAAATTTCTCTGTTGTAATGAGCCCAGCGTACCTGCCGGCCCAGAGGAAGGACCATATTAATATGTCCACATCTTTTGCATAAGAAGCAAAGAATTGGCCTTAGCACAGCTCAGTTCACTTTTCTTCTCTGTGTGACAAAACAAATCTACAGAAAAGAAAAGCCCATCACCACTTTCGCTTCTATTAATAAAATCTGCATAGCAGAAATATCATCTGGTCACACCTTGACCCAGCCATTGCTACCTCTGGTCAGCACTTGGGAAAACCACCCAGTTGCTCCATGAATATGGAGAAATAAAAAGGTCACCTTAACCAATACATCATCCCAGAGTAAAAAAGCATGGTGAAGCCTGGCTTTGACAACAGAAAGAAGAGAGTCTGTAAAGGAAAAGAATGATGACTCTAATGGCACAAAAATTTTATTTAAACTTGAAATGGCAAAGAGAACTATAAACCAATGTAAGATAAAAGAATAGATTGTAGGGATGTATTAGTAACATTCACAATAGATACAAGAGTAATATCTTTAATATACAAAGTTTCTAAAAATCATTAAGGGCTGGGCTTAGTGGCTCACACCTGTATCCTAGCATTTTGGAAGGCTCACTTTGGAAGGCTGAGGCGGGGGGATTGCTTGAGGCCAGGAGTTCAAGATCAGCCTGGCAACAGCAAGACTCTATCTCTACAAAAAATATAAAAATTACCCAGGTGTGGTGGTGCAGTCCTGTAGTCCCATCTATTTGGGAGCTGAGGCAGGAGGATCCCTTGAACTCAGGAGTTTGAAGTTGCAGTGAGCTATGATCACTCCACTGCACTCTAGCTGGGGAGACAGAGCAAGACCCTGTCTCAAAAAAAAATGCCAATTCATATCTTTCTATTTATAGTAGAGACGGGGTCTTGCTCTTGCTCAGGCTGGTTTTGAACTCCTGAACTTGAGCAATCTGCCTGCCTCAGCCTCCCAAGTAGCTGGGACTACAGGCATGTGCCACCATGCCTGGCTAATTTTTTTCTATATATTTTTATTTGGCCCCCAGCTCGTTTCTTTCTTTTTTTCTTTTTTTTTTTTTTTTTTTTTTTTTGGAGACAGGGTCTTGCTCTGTCTCCCCAGCTAGAGTGCAGTGGAGTGATCATAGCTCACTGCAACTTCAAACTCCTGAGTTCAAGGGATCCTCCTGCCTCAGCTTCCCAAGTAGATGGGACTACAGGACTGCACCACCACACCTGGGTAATTTTTATATTTTTTGTAGAGATAGAGTCTTGCTGTTGCCCAGGCTGATCTTGAACTCCTGGCCTCAAGCAATCCCCCTGCCTCAGCCTTCCAAAGTGAGCCTCCCAAAATGCTAGGATTACAGGTGTGAGCCACTAAGCCCAGCCCTTAATGATTTTTAGAAACTTTGTATATTAAAGATATTACTCTTGTATCTATTGTGAATGTTACTAATACATTCCCTACAATCTATTCTTTTTATCTTACAGTTTGGTTTATAGTGCTCTTTGCCATTTCAAGTTTTAAATTAAAATTTTTGTGCCATTAGAGTCATCATTCTTTTCCTTTACAGACTCTCTTCTTTCTGTTGTCAAAGCCAGGCTTCACCATGCTTTTTATACTCTGGGATGATGTATTGGTTAAGGTGACCTTTTTATTCTCCATATTCATGGAGCAACTGGGTGGTTTTCCCAAGTTGCTGACCAGAGGTAGCAATGGCTGGGTCAAGGTGTGACCCAGATGATATTTCTGCTATGCAGATTTTATTAATAGAAGCGAAAGTGGTGATGGGCTTTTCCTTTTCTGTAGATTTGTTTTTGTCACACAGAGAAGGAAAAGTGAATTGAGCTGTGCTAAGGCCAATTCTTTGCTTCTTATGCAAAAGATGTGGACATATTAATAATGGTCCTTCCTGCCTGGGCCCCGGCAGGTACGCTGGGCTCATTACAACAGAGAAATTTCACCAAAGTGAGAACACCTGAGGGAGAAAACCGGCCTGCCAAGAATAATCACATCAACTCTCCAGCAGCCTCCTGGCATGGGCTCCCCCTCCCACAGGGCCTGCTGATTGCTTAGGCTTTTACAATCCTAGAGCTCTGTTCCAAGGAGCTTTTGTGGTTTAAATCAATGTGCTTTGGGGAATAAGTGCCCTTATTATTTCCTCGTTCATATTGTTTGCTGTGCTCTTATACCACCATGACATAATACCCTTTGTATCAAGAACAATAACAGTCCTTTCAGGAATCTCTAAGAGCTTTCTAATTAGGATCCACAAGCTCAGGACAGATGGAGACGCTGAAGCCCAGAGACAGGGGTGACAGAGCTTCACCTCAGTCACAGAGGAGCCAAGCTGCAGGGCCCAGGAGACACTGCTTATCTGGCAGTGACCACAGGATTATGAGGCTGCATGAGCGCGTGCGTAGCAGCAGGCCCTCCTTGGCGGGACAGCTTAAGGTGCCTGCCTTTGAGTTGATGACTGAGGACTAGCCGGGCCCAGGAACTGGCTGGGCGATAGCTCTCCTGTTTACAAATCAGTTCTCCGTGTCGGGCACCTAGAACCAGAGACTGCGTGACGTCTAGGCCACTTGATAATGGATTCTGCAGTAAGTAATTTAACTTTCTTGACTGCCTGCTGTATGCCAGGTGCCATGATGGATCACCAGGAAGGCAAAGATGAGCTCCCATTCTGCACGAGACGGAATGTGATTCGGGCTGCGGGGAGCACCGAGTGCGGCGCTGGCTGCAGAGACAGCGTGGGGGGCTGGACGGGTTTTTCAGCGACGGTGGGGAGGAGAGTATTCAGGCGGAGGGAAAACACGAGCGAAGCCACAAAGCTAAGAATGTGCAACGGAGCTCATGGAGTGCCCGGGCAGCTAGTGTCACTGTAGTCTGGGACATACACAGAGGGTGCCGGGGGTGGGGGGAGCCAGGCTGTAGGCCAGCGTCTCATCATGGAGGGGCTTCAATGACAGACTGAAGGGTTTGGCTGTATCCGGAACCCACTGGGTATAAAGGCTTTTTTTTTTTTTTAGCAAAGGAGCGAATTAGGAAGCAGTGGTAAGGAAAATTCACTTGGAGGAGGCTGAAACTAGCAGCAAGGAAAACAGCAGGTGAGAGCAGCATTCCAGGGAGACGCAGTGAGGCTGTGGACCAGGATAAAGGCTGTGGGGACAGAACACTGTGCAGGACAGCCCCCGCCCCCTTCCCCAAAAGTGGGGCAGCTCCTCTCTGCCTGGACACCTTCCTCATGAAGACACGCAGGGACACATACTCGGGAGGTGACAGAAAACAGCATTTTCACCATCATTCTCCTCTAAGCTGTCAGATCTGGCCCCTCCCCACCCCCACCCCCACCACTTCTGCTCTGTGCACCCTTCTGTTCCCTCTGTCCCAGTCTGGGCAGTGGCTGGAGGCACCTGCTGTAGGGACAGAGAGCACCACACAGGGGCTGTGTACATCTGCAGCCTGGAGGGCACGTGTTTAGTGGGGAGCAGGCCACACCCCGCCTCCCAGGCAAAGGCCTCTGCTGGGGGCAGTTAGCTGCAGCCTCCCTGGCATCCTCCTGAGGGAACGTGGCCCAGAGGTCCTGGAGTCCCGTCCCTCCGCCTCCAGGGGGCTCTTGGCTCTTATACCCCTGTGGCTGGCTGGACCCCCTGCCCTAAGGCCCTCTCACACAGCCCGAATAGATATTTTCACAGTTCAGTAAATTCTTCTTGGTACCCCGCCTAAACTTCTTACTGCAATTTTAAGTTCTCCTTGCTGTATGTTCTGTGTTTGGGAGGGATGGCAAACTCTCCAAGACCTCGTCAGCAGGGAAGGAGTTCTGGTCACTGAGGCGTTCAGCCTCCATTGCATCACAGGGCTCATGCCCAATAGATCAGCTGGCACCAGCTAACTTTGGGCACAAGCCCATTTATTTTGTGGTTGACCAGATAAGACTCTGAAAGAACGACAGGCAGCCTGGGCTGGCTCACTGTGCCGGTGACATTTCTCCCATTTCTTCCTGCCCACCGCCCCGACCCAGGGCTCAAGACTTGAGCTGACAGGGAAGCCCAAGGTTTGGAAATCCTCTCCTCCTCAGAGAAAGGAATAAATTCCTCTCGAGGCTAAGAACTTCGAGTCTTTTCCAGGTCCTCAGATGACCCGGAACATCATCCTTCTCTAAGGCAGAGGTGACCCGAAGCTGGAACGTCTTTCCCAACTGCTCTCCGGCCCACCCAGGAGGCGGCAACCAACGTCCAGAGGGCCTCTGGCTACGTACCAGGCTTCGTGCTTGTTATGGCACCTCATCGTCAGGACTCTTCAACAAGGGAGTTATTGGCCCCATTTCACAGACGAGCAAGCCAAGGCTCGAAGAGATGTTATGAAAAGAAACAGGTTCAGAGAACAGCCAGGAAGCTGACGGGAGGAGGGGGCTGTTTGTTCCCGTTAACAGGACCCGGTGACGTTAGCTGCTACTTGTCCGCATTTAAGCCAACCCCAAGGGTCAGGCAGCTGACTGTATACGACGCGGTACTGGTCACAGCGGGACACAAAGGACCACGTTTGGTTGGAGGAATCAGGGCGTCCGGAAGGATGGATGGGTGTTTCGGTACAGAATGGCTGGGGCCCGGGGAGACCACATTCTGACCACGGGAGTTATTTCTGCCTGAGCGAGGTTTGGTGGGAGTTTTCCATCTTCCTCAAACACAGAGAATTGAACTAGATTTAAGATTGCTGTGAGTGGTTTAGCTGGATATAAGGAAAAACTCAGTGAATTATGAGGATGGTTCAATACCAAAGGAGAGGACACGGGTGGAATGAGATTTCTTTTCTTTTTTTGAGACAGAGTCTCACTCTGTTGCCCAGGCTACAGTGAGGGCCGTGGTGTCAGCCAAGCTCACAGCAACCTCAAACTCCTGGGCTCAAGTGATCCTCCTGCCTTAGCCTCCCAAGTAGCTGGGACTACAGGCATGTGCCACCATGCCTGGCTAATTTTTTTCTATATATTTTTATTTGGCCAATTCATATCTTTCTATTTTTAGTAGAGATGGCGGGGGGGGGGGTCTTGCTCTTGCTCAGGTTGGTCTCCAACTCCTGACCTCCAGCGATCCTCCCGCCTCGGCCTCCCAGAGTGCTAGGATTGCAGGCGTGAGCCACCGGCCCCGGCCTGATTGAGATTTCTGAAGGGCTGCACAGGGAACAGCAGTGACTCTGACCTTGATCAACCCATCCCTTTCCTCTTTCACCCGAGAACTTGATCAACGCCCTCAGGAAGCTCAGGCTCACCCAGCACCCTCAGGGCCAGAGTGGGGTTCTCACGACCCTCCCTCCCATGGTCCCCCCCAAAAAGAGGGAGTGGCACGGCTCTGAGCCCAGGGAGCTTGTCCGCCGTTGTCTTCCCAGCGCCTGCTGTACCGTATGTGCTCAGCAAACACTGGTGAATGGATCAAGGGTACTGGCTCTCCGAATTGTTGGTGCCCTTGCTGGCCACGCCTTTGGCACATCCGGGAAATCTGTCCAAGTTCACAAACTCCTGCCCGCACAAATGCTGCTGACCAAGCCGCAGCGTCCTGTGATGTCAGCTGAGTTACCTTTGGTGTTCAGGACGAAGAAAAAGTGCTTTCTTTCCATCAGCTGCTCTTGGTCAGCCACCTGGGCACGGGTAGCGGGGGGAATTATTAATAGTACTTGGGACAGGTTCGTGGGTCCTCTCCTGTGCTAAGAGCCCTCGAGGAGAGCTTCCAGATACGCTCACTTGCTGAGAAAAACAATTCTAGCCAGGGCTAATATGCTTTTGCGCATTCCCGGGGGACAGTCACCAGTGAGTAGGACAGATCTGATGTTGCTTCAGTGATTCTGTGATTATAGTTATTCCTCCCTGATGCTTTGGTACCTTGAAACGTGACATTGAGGGGTTTGCGTCATCCAGCAGCCTGGCCAGAGGCAGCAGTAGTGTCTGCCGCATGAGATAATATTTAATTTTTGAGTGTAAACTCCTACCTCCTTGAGGTTAAATATTCGCTTTACACTTCAGCGGTTTATCTTTTGTTTCCAAATGCTCTTTTGTCCCGCTTTGGCCTGCAAGTAAGAGGTGCCCAATTGTCTTCGATTATGTCAAGCAGTTGCTGCAAAGGAAGGGACACACGCATTCCAAACAAGGCAAAAAGAAAGAGTGCTAAACGATGGCCAGTTTTCTCTTTACTTAAGATCCTCTCCTGACTGCTACATGTAAGGGAATGCTAACAAGAGTTTCAGAAACGGCACTCTTTAGTGCTTTGTCAATTGCTTTTATAAATAAGCCCTCTGCACATTCTCTAAAAATAGGTCTTTTTCGTTTGTTGACAAATGCTGATTACAAAAAATATTTTATTTCCTAGTATTCCTAAACTTTGTTTCACTGTGCAAAATAAATCAATTGAGGCAATAACTAAAATTAAGGGCTTCACTTCCAGCAAATGCTACTTAGTAGTAAACAAGCCAGTGAGAAGTAATCCTCCCCTATTTTCCATTTCTTTTTGTTTTTCTTTCTTAATTCTAACCTACCTAACATTTCTTTCTTTCTCTTTCCTTCCTTCCTTCCTTCCTTCCTTCCTTCCTTCCTTCCTTCCTTCCTTCCTTCCTTCCTCCCCCCTCCCTCCCTCCTTCCTTCCTTTCTGCATATTATGGGGGTACAAATGTTAAGGTTATGTATACTGCCCTTGCCCTCCCCTAGTCAGAGCTTCAAGCGTGTCCGTCCCCCAGTTGGTGCACGTCACACTCATTATGTATATACCCATTCCCCCCCAACCTGCCCAGCACCCGATAAATGTTATTCCTATATGTCCACTTACGTGTTGAAAAGTAGGTCTTTTTCTGTCAAATGTGACTACAAGTTGCTCAAGGGCTCTCCCTGTCAGTGTCCTTTTGAATCTCCCACCCCCAGCTCAGGCCTGGCAATGTGTTGGGCTCACAGGAGTGTCGCTTTCCCTCATTTGCACCTCTAGGCTAGTCCTCTCATCTACTTCTCCTGTGACCCTCCTTATCACGTTGCTTTTGCTGGTGGGTGGGATGCGCAGGCAAAGCAAGGCTGGGACACAAGTGTTACCAATTCATTGTCACGTTGCTCACCTCACTTACAGTTCCACGCTACCAGGGTGACATGACACATAGAAGCATCCTTAGCTCCACTGCTTCCAACGGGGGTAGAGGAGATTGCAGGCGGCACGGCCTATTTTCACTCTCCTTGCTCTTGGGAAGCAGTAGAATTAGACATTGGCATCTTCTCATAATTCCTTAGTCTAATTTAGCTCTATTTTATTCGTCTTAATGTTCTGCTTTAAACACACTTTTGACTCACTGCCACAAATAAGCTTCATCAAAACCCACAAATGAAATCTCTAAGAAAACCAAAGAAAGTTGAGTTAGAGAGTTATTTCTTCTCTGCATACCACCTGGTTTTCTTTAAAACATCCCGACTTTGGTATTTGAGATGCTCATTTTTCTAACTGTTCTAATGCATTTTGGATTACCCCACCTTTATAATTTTACTAAAAAAAAAATCTTCAAACAACAAAAAAATATTTTTAAGTCCTAGTTTGCCAACTAGGTTTCACTATACAAAGGCTAGACTTGTAGACATGATCTATGAGACATTCCTCAAACTTATATAACCAAGTTTCAATCTTTAACCAGACCTAAATAATAGAGGACAATTATTTCTTGCACAACAAACTTGACTGTGCAGGAAAGAATTGCTCTGGGAGAGTATCAAGTAAGCAGAAGGGTGAGGTGTAAAAAAAAAAACAGACTGAAAAATGTTTTGTACCTGTAGTAGATTTGAAAAAAGTAAATTTAGCATTTTTCATTAGAATGTGGGAACAAATGGCTCCAGGTCTTGGTATGTTATTTAAGAAGAAAAAAAGGCACAACATGCTCTGTTGAAATCCTAATTAGAATTCATCATTAAATTGCTCATAGTACTTTAGACTGGGATAAGGGACTGGCTCCAGCAGAGCCAATTAAATACACAGCCCATGGTGTTAAAGGTCTTGTGTTCTTGGGCAAGACATTGAAAGGAAGACCATAACCTCCTGCTGGAGTGCTACTGGTAGGAAATCTAAGCCAATTCACCAGACTTTGGGACTTCTCAGTGTATCCCATCATACTTTTAATGTCTGTCTGACTGGTCAAGGCTGTCTCAGGCAGCATTGTGGAAAGAACTGGGTTTGGATGAGCAACATGGTATTATGTTGTATAGCATTGTATTACCAGAAGCAAAGCAAACATGTAAACGCTAAACACCTTCCTTGTCATCTACATACTCTTCCATGGGGAACTTTTAGTGGGTCAAAGAATTCCAATGTAGACTTCCTTATCTAACCCTCCTTAAGGGTAATCTAGATCTTAAGGTAATAGCCTTTTCATTTCTACCTGTACTGTCCAATTCTAATAGCAACCTGAGGCTATTTAAGTGAATTTAAAGTAGATAAAAGATTCAGCCCCTCAGTCACACTAGCCATTATTTAATTCCTCAATAGCTACATGTGGCTAGTGGCTGTACTGGATAATGCAGATTTAGAATATTCCCATCATCAGAGAAAGTTCTGTTGGCTGGCATTGCTTATGCTATACATGCCAAGTGGCAGGTCATCTTATTCTCAATATTCTGTTGGCAGATATTGGCACAGAAAGAGCAAGTGACCTATCTAAGGACCGATGACAGGTGAGCCTTGTAAATAGGATTTAAACTGAGATCTCTGGAACCCTAGTCTGGGGATCTTGTTTGGTTGTTCTTCTCTGAACAGTATCTTACGTGAAAAGTGATTTTTGTCTTCCAGGTGCAAATTACCTGCCCCCTGGTTTGAGCTAGAAAGATCTTGCCAGAAGATCTCTTAGTTTAAGCTGGAATACATTACTTTTTCTTTGTATGTATGCCATTCAATAATTTACATCAATATAGTAGGCAGAAATTCCATTTTGTTTAGGTCAACATTACTCAACGTATCCAAAATGAACACAAGGTAAGATAGATTAAATGTGTTCAGTAGCAGAGAAAATGTGATTTTTATTTTGAAGAAATAAAATGCTAAGACTAAGAACTGATCTAACACTATGAAAAATACTAAGGAGGATGATAACAGTAGTAATAATATCAGCAAACATATATGTTTACTATGTGCCAGGTATGTTTTAAGTGCTTAACATATATTAATTCTATTTTTTTTTTTTTTTGAGACAGAGTCTCACTTTGTTGCCCAGGCTAGAGTGAGTGCCCTGGCATCAGCCTAGCTCACAGCAACCTCAAACTCCTGGGCTCTCAAGCAATCCTTCTGCCTCAGCCTCCCGAGTAGCTGGGACTACAGGCATGCACCACCATGCCCGGCTAATGTTTTTCTATATATATTAGTTGGCCAATTAATTTCTTTCTATTTACAGTAGAGACGGGGTCTCGCTCTTGCTCAGTCTGGGTTTGTACTCCTGACCTCGAGCAATCTGCTTGCCTCGGCCTCCCAGAGTGCTAGGATTACAGGTGTGAGCCACCGCACCCGGCCCTTATATTAATTTTATATTAACTCATTTAATTCTCACACCTACCCCATGAAGCACTAGCATGTGTCTCTACTTTAGGAATGAGGAAATTGAGGTATAGAGAGAATTAAGTAGCGTGTCCCAAAGGTAGAGGTAAGATTTGAACCCGGGCAGTGTGGCTCTGAATTGTGTTCCCGGTCACCAGGCTATACAGGAGTCTCCCTTCTCAGTGGGGGGTAGGTTCTACCCTGGTGGATGCCTGAGACCATGGATAGTACTCAACCCTATATATATTGTTGTTTTCCTATACATACGTACCTATGCCAAAGTTTAACTTATCAAATAGGTATAGTAAGAGATCATCACCATAGCTAATAATAAAATGGAACAATTATAATATACTATAATAAAAGTTAAGTGAATGTGGTTTCTTTCTCAAATCTTATTGTATATAATATATTCATATTGCAGTTGACTATGGTTAACTGAAATTGTGGAGAGCAAAACTGCAGATGAGGAGGGACTATTGTGCTGCAAAGTCACTGAGCACTGAGAAAAATTAGGCCTGCCTCTCTTGACTCAATCAGCCAGTGCCCTTTATTATTCATATTTCTAAATTCAGGGAACATGCTCATTTCATAATTAGTATGCATATCTTTCTTTCCTGCATCTTTACTTTTTTTTTTCATTCGTTAGTGTCATGTTGAAATTATAAACACAGTTTTCTCCCACAAGTAACTCTTTAACAGGTGGTACCAAAAATGAGGTAGATATTATACCAAACATAAAATCAGAATTCTAATCTTGGAACAGATATACTGAAATAAAAGTCTTTTTGGCTTCCTAGAGCTATTAGTATTTTCATACTCCAAACTATTTGGATTTTTTATTTTAATACTTTCTTTCCAAGTTTGTGCCAGGGGCACATAGTACATCAAACCAAAAATCATAATTACAGGTATTAAAAGCCTATATTTTTAAGAACATATTGATAAAATTTGGGAAGGTCTCAAAGAGAATTGGTGTCTTCCAAGATTTGCTTCTTTTTTGGACAATTCTACCTTGAAATAGTACCAGGAACTTGAAACTCACATTATAAAATTTCATCCTGAAAATAGCCACTTAATTAGAAAAAAATGAAAGAGATTCCCCCCCAAAAGGCTTTTTTTTTTGTCTTTTAGTTTTCCAGTCACCTGATACTAAACCTCTAGGCAAGAGTCCAGAAATCTAGTTTAATTTAGTCATCTTACAGACAAACTAAGGTCTAGAGAGGTAACGTGACTTGCCCCAGGTCACAGAGCTAAGAGCAGAACCCAGGCTTTCTGGTTCAGCAATTTCCACACCTGGTAAAAGGATGAGGGGTCCTGCCAACCACTCCGGCAATTCTTCCTAAGACATATGTTCCTAGGCGCTGACACGACCATACAGGTTGTGCACTTTATACGACTGGGCTATGTCTAAAAGGATGTCATTCATGGTAGACACCATAGATTTGTACATGTTTACAATGAAGTTCTGGCTGTTGGCAGTACAAAGTGCTGTGCCAGGGCAATAGCTCATGAAGGCGCACACTCCTGGAGAGACCCAAGTCGCCAATCACTTCTCAACTCTTACGGCCACATGACAAGCAAAAAGACCCTCATTTTTTACTTTCTCCATTTTCCTTTCAATCAATGTTGACTTTGAAGAGAAAAAGGCAAAACACAAGCAAAGGAATTGAGATATTTATTTAAAAAGGAAATTCCAGGGAATGTACCCTGCTTCATCTTAGGAGCTGCATCCAACCCAAATGCCTATAACATCAATATCTGCAACCCTGTGATCCCCAATGTTAAGAAGTCATGATCTTGAAGCACTGAATGATCCCCACTCAAGAAACAGTTAAGTTGTACCTAGTATACTGTGTTAAGATGAGAAAGTACATTATATTTTATAATGGTCTTCAACCAGTATTAAAATAGGAAAAAAAGGAGTTTTCTGGCTTTCCAGAAAAGTCTATTCCCTGAGCATCCCAACTAATTGAGGTTGTGTTAGAGAGACTGCTCTTTCTAGACAATTAAGTCTAACATTACATAACTCATCAAGTAAAAACCAAACCAATTAAAAGAAAAGATCTGCTCCCCAACTTAAAACATTAAGATATTAAACGTGATTTTTTTAACCTTTAGAAACAATGTAAAATGTATTATACACAATCACGCACATATTTAAAAAACCCAAATTAATCTCCAATTTTTCTATGTAATTGCTAGTTGTTCTTTGGGTCAATTAAATACTAAAACAATAAATTAAAATTGCTTTAGCACAGGAAGAGACAGATAAGTGGCTGATATAACATGATAGGATGTTTCAACCCTGCGAGACTGTAGGTTCTCATAATGCAGGAGACTGGTTATAGCAAGGGACACTTTCAAGTCCGTCTCTAAAAGGACTCATTTTCTGCTACCATGGATAAACCTCACACCTACTGATCAGAACTTCCCAGCGCCTGGCTCAGAATTCCAGGCCTGTGTCAGAGAGCAGATGGTATGTTTTGGAAGAGAAGTGGTCAAACTTACTAATTCAACGATCTCAATATATGACTTATCTTGAAAGAAAAGGAAAAAGCTCAGCAAAGGAAACAACAACAACAACAAAACAATGAAAATGTTAAGTAAGAGATAAAGAATTTGGTTTAAGAAGGAACATGAAAAAAAATCCTCCTGGCTGGCTAAGAACCCAATTATGTTTCAAACTAAAATTTTAAGGAATAAAAGCCCCATTTTCCAAAATATCATATTACAGAAGTCAATGTAATGATAAATGGACTCTACATAACGTTCATATATTTGATCCCTATGAAAAGGGAAACTATTCCTGCCAGTTTGATCATCCCTTTGAAGTCCATAGTGCATCTGTTAAAACCGTGTGTAGGCATTCCGTTGCTGCTGCTGCTGTAATGGTTGCTGCGCTTGCTGCTGTTGCAGGCGAATTTGCTGGGAATAGGGATCTTCCAGGGATTTGACAAATATGGTAGTTCTGGGACCAGTCTTCCACACAATGCCATTGGCATCTTTCACTGAAGATTCCACTGTGATGTTGTGTGTTCCAAGGATAGCGAAGTTCAGCAGAAACTGAGTACTGAAGTAGTCATTATGAGGTTCAACCCTCTGCTCCATCTCATTGGTCATATTGTCAATGGGTATCTGGAATGAAAGAATTGTTAAATGATGACAAGAGCTGACATTTATTCAGTGCTTACTATGAGCCAGGCCTGTTCTAAGAGCTTATTTAGTCCTTGCAAACAACCAAGAGATAGGTACTACTATCGTCCCTGTTTCATACATGAGGCTGCTATGGCAGAGAAGTTAAGTGGTTTCTCCAAGGTGACACAGGTAACGAGTGGTGGAGTTGGAATCTGAACTCAGCAGGCTAACTCCAGGGCCTGCACTCTGAACTATTAGTAAGCGAAACTGCCTCCTCACTTTCAACCCCTTTACGTGCTGGCCTTTCTTCCTCGCTTACCTGACCATCTCCAAATCCCTATCTTTTTTTTTAGTCTGGGATGAGATATTCATTCTGAAGAAACAGGATGAAGCCACCTGTTCCAGGAGCTTAAAATCTAAGAGGTTGAAAAAGCACATAACACTACATAAATTTAAGTTAGGTTTTTCTCTCCTAGTTAGTCTGATTTTATATGACTTAAGTAATGTAGTGGTTCCTTACTCCTTTACCAAATTAACTTTAGAACTTGCACGCGACTCACTTAATCATCAGTGTCTTGTTCAGATTGGTAGTATGGTATTTTATAAAACACATTTATGGGCTCACTCATTTATTTAGCCAGATGCTCATGCCTTTCTCCTTCAAAGAACAGAATAAAATCTGCTGGTGCACCCTTATTGTATGCAAGATGAAGTATGGTAAGAAAAAGAGTTATTCTGAGAATGCATATAAAGGTAATCTTAAAGGATATTTGACCAGATTGCTCTATGTTCATGTGTGTGTTTCTGTAGTGTAATTAATTATATAAATGTGTCCTCCTGCTTTGCGTCTCAACGAGCAGTTATCATGAGGTCAATTTTCTAGAGATATTTATCTGTAACATTAATGAACTGAAGTCACCAACCAGTGTAAGATCTTAGAATTATTTCTAGTATAGATACTTTTATCCCCCTCACTTTCAGCTTTTGTAGGGTTTTTATTTCCCTAAAGAATATGTCTAAGAAAGAATTTCCTTAAAAGGACCAGCAGTCAGCCTAGGCAAAATGATCATCCTGAAAGTGTGCATTTTAAGTTGCAAACTCACTGTGAGAAATATCACAAAGCAATCATGTACTACACAGCTTATTGTATCAGCCTCTGGCTTTAATCAATGCCTCTTGAGAGGTAAGTTAACAAGCAGAAGACCAGTGCTTCTAGGTTTAAATGTTTTTTTCCTAACAGCAGAAATTATATACAAGAAACAAAGAGAATCATAGTTATTGTTTCGAAGTGAGGAGACAGCTGCAGAAGGGGATAAATTAACTACGGAAATTCTCATTACAACCTTCTGTGACAGCAGAGATCACCCAGCCATAACAGCTGTACTCTAAACACAGTACATTATTTTTTTTCATCATTCACAAAATACTTATTGAGTGGTACAAGGTGCCATGTTTTGTGTCATAAAAGTCAAAAGAGAAGAAAAGAAAAGAGAATGAAGGCTGAGCCTTATCAGAGAGTGGACAGACTGCCACAGTAAAGAAAGTAGTGACGACTTAAACCAGACCTTCCCTTGGCTTTTTAGCCTAAAACATCTGAAGAGAATTAAATGCTCTCTTTTTTATACCTTCACTGATAACCCCTCCCTTGCTATGGGTCCTCAGTTCAAATATGCCACAACAAATCTGTACATAACCAATCCGGGCATCTGCACGACTTTGCTAATACAATTGTGGACTTGTTCCTTGCTCCATTTACTGTGGCTGAACCACCAAGGAATTAAAGAAAGGAACACTCTATATTTAGAACATTGGTATTTCATGGGCACAGATTCAGCATCTCAGCTCTGGCTACTAACGTAAGCTTGATTTTGGTTATGCTTACCTACCTCGTAACTTCTCAAAGTAGCAAATCTCTAGGGTTACACCCTTACGGCAAGATTTTACTTTATCTGACCACTATATATTAATGCTATATACATTTTAAAAACTGCTAACATTTATTTAAGTTAGAGAAAAATAAATAGAAGTATGCTTTTTGGGGGGAGGGCTTGGGTGGGTTAGGGAGACAGTTATTCTCCACTCCTGATGTTTCCCTCCACGTGGAGGGACCTTCCATTAGATCAGCAGTACTGGCCTCCAGGGCAGAGGTGAGTCTTACTGACTGGTAAGTTTCAGGGTGGGAACTAGGCATGGGAAGATAAGTACCTTCTCTCTCCCTTCTTTGGGCATCAGAGTACTCCTCCCTGCCATAAATTTAACCAGAGCAGGCTCTCATATGTACTGGCTGAGGCTGGGTAGGAAAATTCAATTTGGAGGTCTCAGGTTAGGAAGTCCTTGCTGCCAGGCACCTGAGTGAGGTTTCCCACAACTCTAGCAGTAATAGAATTCATATTTTGGTATCTGTTGCCTGGATGCTTTGTCTATTAACTGATTCAGGCAGGGAAAAGAGAAGTGTTGTTTATTAGCCCCCTCAAACCTCAATATGTGCTGTTAATTTATGTCCATCTGATCGTGTTGGAGGTGTAATTGCAATCTGTCTGCTTAACCACGAGAAACACTGGAAAATTTCCATCGATGAGTTCATCAAATTTGTATCACAATTCTGCCTCTTCTCTAAATTACCTTGTAGTCTTGTCCAGATTTACTCTGTAGCGTGGAAGAAACATTCAGACAGACAGACTGAATTTTGCGGAAGAGTCCAGGTTTAGACCCGTGCTGAACCACGCCCTCTACTTTCAGCGCCAGCTGCTGGTTGTTCTGGACAGCGATGGGCTCTGCCGGGTTCCGGGGCGAGGGTGACAGAGCAAGCTGGAATGGCAACATTAAAATAAATGCCAACAACCAAGAGCAGGCTTCCTTCTGATGAACACGTCTGCACTAATCACTGGTTACAGGCTAACACGCTCGCATACGTACCCCGACCTCTGCACGACCCAACTGTGGCGGGCCGACCAGGCGGAGGTACCTTTAAAGTCCTAATGCCTCCTTTAAAATACCACTGCATTTTTCACCTCAAATCTCAGTTCTGTTTGACGGTAACAGAGAATTACAGAACAGAAGAGGCACTGTTCTAGTTTCTCTGGTGGGGCATTTCTTTAACAATGAACCACTTCCTAGCAGGGAAATACACTACGTAAATTTCCATGTCCAGCTGCCGGTCTGGTCTCCTTGGTCTTAGGTAATTTTACATAGACTAAATTGAAATGTAAATGAACTTCTACAATTACCTACACAACGAAGTCACCATGGTATAAAAATGTCAATATCCACAAATGAACCAAATGACATTTTAAACCTCTCATTAGAGCAATTTTTTAAAACAAGTATGAAAAACTCCAAATACACATCAATTACAGAAAGCTCGAATCTTGCTAAATGAGAAGATGGAAGAAACGAGTCTTTTTGATAATGCTGTTGAGCTACTAAACTAATCAGCCCTGGAGACATCCTACCTTAGGACTTCTTATCTAGAAAATCAAGCTTTCTTATTATTCAGGAAATTCTGAAATGGAATGCTCTGTTAATTATAATTAAAAGCATTTGAATGGATACAAAAGTTCACTGAAGACATTAACTGATTGGAATAATCCAAGAAATTTCTCAGAAATGACAATTTTTCCCTTTTCCAATAATTCTACTTTTTGAATGAAAAATAGTTTTTGACTTCTGAGTGGCTTAAATGCTTCAAAATACTAATTCTCTTCACTGGCCAGCCCCTCAAAACTTGTTAGTTAGAGGCAAAAGTGCTTTGAAGGTAGGACTGGTGATGTTTTACTGTACCTGATCCATTCTAGGTTGGATCTGAACAGGCTGATCAGACAAAGACTTAGGTCAAGATCCTTGCAGGTACTAGGATAAAGCCCATTAACTTACTCCTGGAGGTAAGGGACAAGTGAGAGTCCAGTTAACCAAAAGCCTGTCTCATAGCCTTTGGCACTGACAGTTAAAGAGGGAGAGAGTTTAACTCACAAGTCCCATTCCCTTCACAAAACCACCTGATGAAGGGAGGAAAGACTTAGAACTAAAGGCTGTAAGGTTTTATCAAAACCAAAGGTGAGATACTAAAGTGTAGTTATATGTACCACTTATCTGGAAAAGATAGTTTTTAAACCTATATTAACCCTAGTATTCTTCCTACATTATTACCTTGATGCTGGTAGACTGCAGTTTCTGGAAAAAATATCTCTGAAATGAAAGGGGAACTTTCAGCAAAGCGATGATGGCATTGCAGAGGCATGCTGTATGCTGGGGGAAGAAAAGAAATGAAATCATTTGATAATACATTTTCAATTTCATCAACTAATGGTACATTCAGTTTAAAACAACAAATGCTCATATAGATTATTACAAAATGTACATACCAATCAGGAAATAGCACAATATCCAGGAGCGGTGCATATCTACAAACTCTTTCATGTTGAGAAGTATAATTACAGATTTTACTTTATTTTCAAGTATATTCAATAAAAAATAAATGATAGAAAAGAGAATATCTACATCCTTCAAGGCCAAGCAATGTGCACATTTAGCGTTTCTATAGCGCTTAGAGCTACTAGACATATTATTATATAATTACATTAGATACCAAAACATACAGTAACTATCATAGGGCAGAATATGGTGAAGAGCACGGTGAAGAAGCCTGAGCAGTATCTAGGCGTTCGAGGCCTGACAGCAGACCCTGTGGTGAGTTTCAGCTTTGAGTTTGCTCATTCTTTCATTCTATCTCCACTAGGTCTCTGTCTCATCTCTGTCTCTCCGGCCATCAGTCCTCAGAGAGTAAGCAATGGTGGAACTTACTAGAATTCAGATGAAAGATGACCACATAGGCCGCTCTATGGGATCCCGAAATTTTAATAAAATGCCTTAATTCTAAAATCTATTTCACACATTTTAAAAATCACAGCATAACTACAGAGGAATAGAAACACAAAGACTGAAAAGCATCTTTTAGATTTGGCATCTTAGTGGAAGTGGTCATAGAATCAAAATTTAAGAATTCAAAGATAGTTAAAAAATTACCCAGTCTAACCCTCACTTTTGCTGGTGACAAAGGTCACACAGGTAATGGAACAAGCTAGAACGAGAACCTAGGTTGCCTGACTCTTCAGTGATTTTGTTCTCTTTCACCAATGACTTACAAACTTAACAGAAGAAAATTTAAAGCATAAGCAGAACACTTAATTTTGGGCAAACCAGAACCATGCCTGCTTGGTCTACAATCCCCTCCTCGGTGACCACCCCCAAGGCACCACTGGCTGAAAACCACTGCACTGTATAGTGGGTGGCCTGTCCTTCTACACTCCTGCTTCCAAGCAGGTGCCATCTAGGTGCTCATGCTGCAAACATTTTTAAAAAGCTGGGTGTTAAGGCTAAAAGCCAGAAAAACCCACTCCTTACTGGGTTCAGGCAGTTGAACATTTTGTGCCCAACAGACTCATAGTACAAATGCCAGGTCATTTGCTTGAGATAACCACAACACAGATTTAAAGACATCAGCTCTATCTCTTTGGGTTTAACTGTTAAAGCAGCACTATTCATCTTCCTGCAACAAGGAATCTGAAAAGCATTTGCAAGAACATACTACCTATGGTGGGACCTTTGATGCCACAATAATGTTAATGGAAAAAAACGTGTTTAAAGGGTGGACTTAGAGAACCACAAGTGACTTCAGGTTGTTTCCTGGCAGAAAGCCACTATTTTGCCTTTTAAAGGGATGAATACAGATTTTGCAATCCCCCAGTGGAAAAGTGTGGACTGTCTCTGAGGTCCATAGCCTTTTGGGTGTACCTCCATAGGTATGTTAGCAGATCACTATTAAAGTAACAGTCTGAAGATGTGAAATTACATATCATGATTAGTAAACCAGCAGGAGGACTAATAATACTCTTTTAATTGCCAGGTCTAACAGACACTTTTCAGTCTTTGTATTTTCTGACATTTCTGTGGCACCTGATAATGCTCTTCTTCCATGAAATTTGTCCCTACCCTCACTTTTTTTCTGATTCTTCCTTTCCCATCCTCTTTCCTAAGATCTTCTTCTTTTGTTTGTTCTTTAAATTCTGAAGCTTTTTCCTCAGTCATCTTCTCTTTCAATCCATATTGTTCTTTATAGACAATTCTCTCTATTCCCATGACTTTAAGAATCTCTATGTTCCTGACCACTTTACAAGCATCCTGGCTCATCTCTTTCTTCCCAGACCTATTTACTATCTGACTGCCTAAACACGGCTACATGTTTGAAAATAAAACCTTCATCTTCTACCACCTCTCTATAATCTGTCTCAGTAAAGGATCAATCAGTTGTGTACTTGGTCACCTGGAAGTCATGTCTTCATCACCTCACATCTAATTAAACACAAAACAAAACAAACAGAAAAAAAAAAACCCATGCCTTGAAAACACTTCCTCTAAATATGTCTCATATATATCTGTTCTTCTCATTCTTACTGCCATTTTATTTAATTTGGTCCTTACTTTGGAATATTGCAAAAACCTTATAACCACTTATCTTTTCTCTACTTTCATGCCCTCCAAGCCATTACCTGTCCTGTTTTTACATAACAATAATATACAATTATCTTAAGCATTTCTTTTTTCCACCCATTTAAAATTTCTACAAAGCCCCCCAGTGCCTAAGGATGAAGTCCAAACTCCTTAACACTGTGTTCAAAGCCTTAGTGGTCTGGCCTCTGCCTACCCTCTCTACTCTCACCTCTCATCCCCTGTCTATACATTACACTGCGGCAGTAACACCTGTTCTCAAAGACACGTTATTTCACATCTCTGCTCCTGAACATGTCCCTGCCTGAGATTCTCTACCCCTCCATATCTGTCTGGAAAACTCATCTGAAAGACACCTTCTCCCTGAATTGCACTCCTACCCCATTTTGCCTATCCTTTGACATAAATCACTTTCTTTTTTGTGCTACATTTCTACCTTGTGCAGAACTCTATTACTGCACATATATTATACTGTATTTATTTGTTTATAAAATCTTTCTTTCTTAGACTATGGACAACTTGAGGGAAGATCCATGTCTCTGCCATATTTGTATTCCTAGGATCCAATAAACACTTGTTGAACTGAATTTGGGGGCTCAGAAAGTATCAAATCTATGAAATACAATTGGCAATGGAGAAAAAGGGAATTAACTTTTGCTAACCACTCCATATATGCAGTATATAGGTACTGTGGTAGGCAATATGCATTATGTCATTTAAACTTCACAGTAATCCTATGAACTATGTATTTTTTTCCATTTCATATGAAAAGGATATTAAGAAATCTGTCTAAAGTCACAGAGCTACTGAGTGGCAGAGGCAGAATCTGAACCTAGTTCTGAATGAGCCTATGGCTCTTTTCTCTGCACCGAGTCTCCTGGACAGAAACCTCCCATTCTCTTCATTACATTTAGTGATTCAACTCCATCAAAATGAAGTTACTGTTTAGCATATATGTAATTTCTTAAGGTGGAGTTTAGAGAGATATGAAAACAATCACTATCTCACACAGATGTATTTCCTTCAAAGATAGTCTTTACAATCTCCCTAAGCAACCAATCTACAGCAAATACTACTGAGAATCTGACATGTAAAGCAGTGTGTCAGGGAAATTATCCATATAATTTGGATAAATTAGTTAAATCTATAGCTCTTTAAGGACACATCCTGCCAATTCACTCTAAAAACTTGATACAGGTTGAGAGTGCAAAATGAGAAGAGCAGAAGCCAGGAGACAGCCACCGGGAATGTCAGCCTCAAACCTGTGAGGGGAAGAGAAACTCTCCAAAGCAAAACGTTCAAAGATCGGGTATTATGGGCCGAATGTCTTTGTTTTCCTAAAATTCATACATTGAAGCCCTAACCCCCAATGTGATGGTATGTGTGAAGGTCATGTCCTTAAAGAAGGGGAAGAGAGACTAGAACTCTCCCCTCTCCTCCCCACCACAATATGAAGACCGGCCAGAAGGTGGCCATCACCAAGGCCAGGAAGAGAGCCCTGACCAGGAACTGAATGGGCTGGCGCCCGGATCCTGGACTTCCCTGCCTCCAGAACTGTGAGAAATAAATGTCTGTTGTTTAAACCACCCAGTCTATGGCACTCTGTTCTAATAGTCTGAGCTGAGACACTGGGGAATGGTCACAGAGGGAGGAGAAAATCTGTATGAGAGTGTGGCAATCTGCCCTGTGACTGGGAAGGCAGGGGAGCAGATTTAATAAAAAGTGAGTGCTTGGCAGCGCCATAGGCAGCAGAGATTCAGCAGGCTAAAGGCTGAAAAGTATACTGAAAGACATTAATGCCATCACCTGGCAGGAACCAATTTACTTCCAGTCAGACAACAAGCCCAGTCCCTTCTGTTCTAGTCGGCCGCTGGTTTTCAACCTTGGCAGCATGATAGAATCACCTGGGAGTGTTTCAAAGTACTAATGCCTGGGCCCCAATTTCAGCGATTCTAAGTAAACTAGTCTGGGGTAGGGCCTGGATATTGGTGTATTTTTTAAAAAGCTTCCTAAGTGATTCTAACGTGTAGCCAGGGTTGAGAACTATTGCAACTTCACTTACATTGTTAAAAAAGAAAAGTTTCATCTGCATTCTGGTAGAGCAGATTTTATATGGTCACGTGGCTATGCACAGTTACAGATGTGTTAAGTGCTTCCCTGGGTTATCTCATTTAATCCCCACCACAGCGCTATGAGGCAGGTACTATATTAACCTTGTTTCACAGATAAGGAGATGGGCACAGAAGGGTTAACTTGTTGAGCTCACATAGTAAGTGCCAGAGATAGGGAAAAAACCCTACTTCCACATTAAAGAAACTCAATAAAACAAATGCCACTTGCCATATAAGAAACAGGAGTATATTTCCGATTGAGCGATTCTACCTCCTCCAAGACATGGTTATATACAGACATCATTCTCCTCTCATATTCACTATCAGCATGGGCTGCTGCCGTAGATCCGTATTCCTGGAAACTGAAGTAAAGATCAGCATCAGTTAATCAATCAAAATAGTAACTATTTTAATGCCTAAACAATATCAGGCACTTTCCACAGATTCTCATTTAATTTTTAAAATAGTAAAGTTATTTTCATTTATAGGCAAGGAAACTGAGGCTTGGAAAGGGCTAAGTAATTTTCCTATAGTCGTGTAACTAGTAAGTGGCAAACTGAATTCAAACCCAGATCTGACTTCAATAATTCTTCTGTAATTCTTAACCACTGTGGTTGTTAGGACACACGAAAGTATCTACACCTTGTTGCTGACATGAGGAGAAAGAGACATAAGACATTTGAAAAGGTAACTATCAATCAAGCCAGCAGATAAGTGCCAAATGACCAATAAAGATATATATGCAATAGGTCAGAATATGGAGGGAGCTGAGGAATGTCATAGAAGAGAATAGTCTTGAATAAATCACTAGGATGCATAAGATTTGGAGAGATGGGAAGTACAGTGACATTCATGGCTGGGGCAATGGCAGAGGTGAAATGCACAGGAATGTTCAGGAAAAGGCTAGTATACAGAGCTGGGGGAAAAGTTTAGACTTTTCCTTTTCCCTTTACTGCTTAAAATCCCACAACATTTCTGAAAATATTTCAAGTGAGAAAAGAATGCCTTCTTTTCTCTTGCATTCTAACTACATACTTGCATTCTGCCTACATTCTAACTTTTGACAATGCAATGTAGGTAATTTAAATATGTTGGGCATAATACTGCTCTTACTATTCCCTAGTATCACTTTAATGGCTATGAAGTGCAAAGCGCATCAGCTGGGTACTTTACGCAGGTTGTTTCATTTAATCTTCACACCCACTCTAAGAAAAAGGCATAATTAGCTACCTATAGTTTATGCATATGTGGCTCAGGGACATGAAATATATTCAGAGCTAGGAATGAGTGATTAGGGATTCATGTGTCTGCCTGGCTCCAACGCTCTGTTCCCTGTTCTGTAATATATCTTTTTTTTTTTTTTTTTTGAGACAGAGTCTCACTTTGTTGCCCAGGCTAGAGTGAGTGCCGTGGCGTCAGCCTAGCTCACAGCAACCTCAAACTCCTGGGCTCAGGCAATCCTCCTGCCTCAGCCTCCCAAGTACCTGGGACTACAGGCATGTGCCACCATGCCTGGCTAATTTTTTCTCTACATATTAGTTAGCCAATTAATTTCTTTCTATTTATAGTAGAGACGGGGTCTCGATCTTGCTTAGGCTGGTTTCGAACTCCTGATCTGGAGCAATCCACCCACCTCGGCCTTCCAGAGTGCTAGGATAACAGGCGTGATCCACCACGCCTGGCCCATAGATAGATTTTTTTAATGTTAAACCAACCTAGCATTCCTGGGATAAACCCTACTTAATATATTATCCTTTTATGTATTGCTGGATTTAATTTAGGCTTTGTTAAAAGTTTTTATGCCTACATTCATAAGGAATATTTGAATTTGTCCTGTTCACCTAAATTAGCAAATTTATTGGTACAAAGTTATTATTCTCTTATTATGCTTTAAATGTGTACAGGATTTGTACTTACCCTAACTTTATTTACAATATTAATAATTTGTATTCTTTTCCTTGCTCAGACGAGCTAGTTTTATTAATTTTATTAATCTTTTCAAAGAACCAGCTTTTGCTTTCACTGATTTTCTTTACTGGCTTCTTTGACAGCATATTTTTGAGAGGCATCCATGGTTTTCAGAATGTCCTGTTGAATGATCAATAGGCCATTCATCTTTATTGCTGAGTAATATCCCATTGTATGGATATACAATTTATTTATCCATTAGCCTATTAAGAAACATTTGGATTTTTCTCATTTTTGTTATTTTGAATAAAGCTGCTGTGAACATTTGTGTAGAAGTCTGTGTGGAAATATATTTTGAATTCTCTTGGGTAAATATGCAGGAGCAGAATTGGTGATCAAAAATAACTGTATGTTTAACTTTTAAGACACTGCTGAACAGTTTTCCAAAGTGGCTGCATCATTTTGCATTTCCAACAATAGATACATTTAAGCCCTTCCACATCCTCACCATTTAGTATTAAAGGTCTTTTTAATCTTAGCTGTCACAGTGGGTGTAGTATCTCATTGATTTAATTAGCATTTCTCTGATGACTAATGATGGTAAGTATCTTTTCATGTGCCTGTTGGATATTAGCATATGTTCTTTCTTGAAGCGCCTGTTCAAATCTCTCACCAATTTAAAAAAAATTGGTTTGTCTTAAATTGTACAGTATTCTTAATATAGTCTGCATACAAGCATTTTGCTAGAATATGTTTGAGACTATTTTCTTCCTGTCTGTAACTTGTCTTTTCATTTTCTTAATGACATCTTACAAAGAGCAGAAGTTTAAAAATTTAAATCCAATTCAAATTTTTCTCTCATGGTAACTGCTGTTCATGTCCTAAGAAATCTTTCCCAACTTCTAGGTCATGAAGAGTTTCTCCAAAGCAGTCTTCTACAAAGTTTGGAGCTTTATATTTTGGTCTATGATACATCTGGAATTTTTGTGTATGGTGTGAGGTATGGTCAAGATGTTTTTTTTTAAGTAGATATCTAGTTGTTTATTTCTAATTTCCTCTTTGAGGAAAGTGATCTTGGAATCTCAGGCCTTACTATTTTGAAATTATAGACAGTGAAAACACATATTCTGAAACAGAATACCATAATGGGGAAAAATAATATATAATTTTTTAAATAAAAAACACTAATTTTGAATAATTAATTAGTTATTAGGGGAGAGGGGCAAATTTTTAATAAAGTAAAACCAGGACTATTTTGGTTCAGGAAGCCAAAGAATAAAAATGTCAAGTTCAAGCTTAATTGTATCATTAATTCAATTTTTCAATAATGTTTAGTTATACCATATAAGAAGAAATTGTGAATATTCAAAGAATTCCTTCCCAGTTATTTTTCCAAGTCAATGTTTAAAAGTAGGAGGCAGGAGGTAAGTAGACAATGAAGTCAGAAAATCTACGTTTTTGTCACTAGTTATGCTACCCGGGGCAAATGCTGAAAGAATTCTTCCCCCTTTTCTTCTTTAATATCTCTTCTAAAACACTACTGTGATGATTAGGCAAGACAACATATCTGAAAGTGTTTTGTAATGTAAACTATTATTAGAGTTACCTTGCTGATTCTGGATCCAAAATCAGGGCTTCTATTGCATGAGATATCAGTAAACAGCTCTGTTGCTGTCTGGATTAATGTTAAGGTTATACATGAAAATAAGCGATTTCCATGATCTATTTATACTATCCGAATATTAAATGAGTCGAGGACAATCATATTTTTAGTGAAGGTAATCATATTATTAACTCAAATCTTCTGGGGCTCTGTTTTTTCCTTTTAAGGGCTACACATTGTCTATAATAGTGATTCTCAAAGTCTGTTCCCAGAAGGGTACTTACGAGGCTGTCTGATATGGGAAGGGGAACCCAAGAAACAGGCCTGTGATTCAATCATAGCAACTCAATTTTTAATCTATCTTAGGTATAGAGGTTCTTCATAAGAGTTTGAGACAAACAAGCAAATAATAAAAGGCTTCACTAATAAAAGTTAAAAACAAAAAAACAAAACCAATGGTCTGTAGAACCTTTAGCCCAGAGGTTCTTAATCTGGGGCTCAAGGAGTCTGATAATCCCACTGAAGTTGTGTGAATTTTGGGTGTGTGTGCATAAACCCATTTTGTAGGGCAGAGGGTCCATACCATTCATTAGGTTTCAATCAGTAAATCAAAATGCTAAGTTTCAATCAGTAAACCAAAATGCTAAGAACTACTGATTTGTAAGTCCACAACTTAAAAATAATTTCTCTTCCCTCCTTTCAAAAATAATTTGGAGTTGCTAAAAAGAAAATATAGCGAACTTAGGAGAGGGCTTAGGGAACAAAAGTGATGACTAAAATACTGAACAGATCATTTTTAATGAAGGTGATGAGACCCAGGGTTGTTAGCCATGAAGAAAGAAGGATGAGGGGAAGCAAAATGTTCTCTGGTGGGAAAACATAACGTGTTCTAGGTTACAGCTCACAAGAGCACAGGGTATGCATCACTGCTAAACCACAGACTTTGGATGCTCTTCCTGGAGGCGGAGAAAACCACCCGAGTCACCATATTTTAAAAAAAAACCTGGTTCAAATTCAAAAGTAAATTATTCTGTTTATACTAATTTCAAAGGGGAAATTATTAATTATAATAAATTTATAGGTTTATCTAATATATACATATTTTTGTAATTAAGCTTATCTGAAGTATTTAGATTACATTTAAAAGAATACTTCCAAAGAACAAATAATATGCGGGTGAGCTTAGGATACAGTTCTACATTCCTCAAAGTTGCTGAGTCGGCATCAAAAGATGCCTGGTAAAGATCCCCATATCGGGAAGCAAGGCTTCGAAATTCTTCCATGGAATGTTTCATCTATAAAGAAGAAAACAATATCAATTATGACAAACAACCATGCTCTCATTACTGTATAAACAACATAAAAGTCAAAACATAAAAAAGTCATTTTCAGATAAAAAAATTTAAAAATAAATGAATTCTTTTCATTGTCATCCTATTCACTTTCATAAACTTTGTTATATAAAATCAACAAAATGGCAAATGAAACCACAGATAGTAACAATTAATGTACAATACATAGAAACAAAAAATTTGCATTTTATCATCTTCAAGTTCCACTAAAATAATACAGCTTAAAACATTCCTAAATTTTATTAAAATGCATGTCCTTTCTCTTTATATAAATTTGTTGCACCCACTGGGACATCACCATGTCATCAATCACTTTATCGTTCTAATAACACATCAGCCTATTTTTGGCAGCACAGATGAGTTAATAAACATTTGATGCTTACATCTAAGTCAAACCACTGATTTTAAATTTCACAACTTTTTATCTCAAAACTAACTTCAAAAACCTGTAAAGTATAAATAAAAAGTACACTTAAAGTTAAGACATGCCTGATTGGAGATGCGACCACACCTCTGGAGGTCATTTCCCAAGGTCATAGCAATTGTTGTGGCAATTGCAGGTGGGGGGCTTGTTTTCAGGCTATTACAAGTGCAGATCAGCTGAGAGAAGGCTTGCAGAAGGTCAATCCTGAGTTTTACAAATTCACACTGAAAACTTAAAGGATTCAATGGTGTACTAGCAGCCTGGGGGGAAAAAAAGAGATATTTAAGAAAAAGTAAACATAACAATGACAAGCAGCCCTTCTCATCTGCCCCATGAGAGCTCTAGTGATTCACATTTTACACTACAAAACAGCATGCTATTCCCTGCATCCTTTATAAGAATGTATGCTTGCTTTAGTAACCCTTTCAAACTGCCAAAGGTCCTTGATGAAACATTTTATATAAGGTAGAGTTAATAACTATACTCAATATATTTAATTCTGTGTTTTTCGACCTTTGGGATGTTTTATTCTAATCATGAAACAATATGGATTAGGATAGTAAAAAGACCATTTCAATTGTTTCAAATTTCTTAGATGAGACCTGATTTGTTTTTATATGAGGACAGATTCCCCCACTTGCTCTGCCCCTTAAGCTGCTACTTACTATTTTTAATTTACTGTTTGTCAGCAACTTTTTAGAAGGAATAGGCATACAAGTAGTTGTATATAATACTGTTATATAAATACAGAACAGATCATCTTACCAGACAAAAAATACTGGCAGCATTGTTCTAACATGCATTATAAAACTGAAAGAGAAGCACAGTGTAGTTATAACGAGCAAGATTTGCTGCTACTATGGATTTATCTCTAACAAGAAATATTTGATTGATGACATAAGATGATAACCTTGAAAGTGACTTCCATCTTGGACCATGCTATAGTGAAGGAAAGCCATGTGAGATATGGTATATAACTTCAAAAAGAACACAGAAAAGACAGATTTGTCACAAAGGTCAAAGACTTTAAAAGGGAGTATTTTCCAAGAAAGATGGGAGATGTATAGGAAGTAAAATTTAGACTAAGTATGAATAATGCCAATGAAAAATAAAAGGGTATAATTTCCTTTGGTTTCCACTGGGGCTAAACCTTAAATAGAGGTTGTGTTCTAATGTCAGCAAGTAAAGCAAACATTGTATATAATCAAAATTACTCCTAAAAATTCCTTAGGAAGAATTTATTTCCAGTTAGTTCAACAGAGCCAGATAAAGGAATGGTAAACTAGAGTTTTCTTCTAATCCTCACTCTGGGGTATAAGCTAATTAAGAAGGAAGGCTAGGAGAACTGTCCCCACTATTTAAATAGCTTTTTTTTTTGCTAAACATAGAGTTGAATGTGTTAAACATGCAAATAATACTACTTCACTGAATTTCTGATTTGTAGTACTTATCCTATTTTCTAAACGGAGCTAGCTAAAGAAACTAATGCAGCTGGGAAAAAAAAGCTACATGATAAACTCATCACATTGTTGTGAAAGAAATCTCCAAAACTTTTTCATCTTGCAGAACTGAAACTCTACACTCGTTAAATAATAGCTCCCCTTTTCCCCTTTCCCCAACTCTCTGGCAACCATTATTCTACTTTCTGTTTCTACGAATTTGACTATTTTAGGTATTTCATATAAGTGGAATCATATGGTATATATCTTCTGTGACTGGCTTATTTCATTTAGTATAAAGTCAGTTTTTAAAAGAATAAGTAAAGCCTAAAGCAACAGAGAACGAGATTAAACCATCCCTTCTGCTAAGAATAAGTGGGGGAAAATGGAACAAAATATTAAAATCATCTATTTGAAAGCATCAAAGAGCTACTAAGGCAACAAGGACCTGTGAAGACAAAATCATGGAGAGAAGTGAAACCCAAGGAGGTAAAACTGACATTTGGTGACATCTTTCCCCCCTTGAGACATACGCTAATTTGAAAACTGCTGCTGAGAGTCTAAAAAGCTAAGCAGAGATTTCAGCAGTCTCATAAAACTAGGATGGGCTGTGGGAAATATTTCAGGCTTTCCATTTCCACAAAAGGCTATACTGTAGGAATCAGGAGAATCTGAAAATATGCTGGCCCTCACAAGGACTGAATCCTACTTTTGAATCAGTTCAATTCTTGGCTGAATTAAAGTGATCTTCCCTTAGCCTAGGTGCCTGTAAAAAGCAAAGAAAAATAAGTTAAGGCTCTTGATGCTGTAGTCACTATCATTTCCTATATGCACTGTCCAAAACTCAATAAAAAATAACCAGGCATACAAAAAGACAAAATTCCCCAAGCCAAGAAGGAAAAAAAAAAGGTCGGAGATATAAACCAATAAATCCAGACAGCAGAGATATCAGATATAAATTTTAAAATAACTATGATCAATGTTAAAGAAATTAAATGGCAAAAAGAGAACCCTAGCTAAAAACTGGAAAATATAAAATAACCAAATGGAAATTCTGGAACTAAAATGTAATAAATGAAACTAAGAACTTAATAAATGGGCATAACAGCAGATTAGACACAGTAAAAGAGAGATTTACTGAATTGGAAGATCTTCAGAAGAAAACTTTTAGAAGGAAGTACAGAGACAGAAAAAGATGAAAAATGCAGAAGAGAATGTGAGAGATATGAGAGACATGGTAAAAAGAATTAATATAGGTGCACTTGGGGGCAATCATAACCTCAGAACATACTGGATAAGAAGGAAGATGCAGAGCAGTAGGAACTCTTATACATTGTTGGGAGGACTGTAAATTTATAAAGCCACTGGGGAAAACCTACTAGTATTAGCTAGTCAATTTGAAGATGCACATAACCTATGCAACTCCACTCTTAGGTAACATCTTACAGCTGTATCTCTCAACAGGGGCAGGAATATCTTTATCAGTTCAGGAGATTAAACATCTCCAGTTTAATTGACCATTACAGCCAGTAGCAGTATCCACCGACCCCCCATTACTATGACAAACAGAAACATCCCCACACACTTCCAAATTGGAGTAGAGGCAGATAGATACACAGCTCTGACTGAGGTATACTACCCTGGAGAAAGGTTTTCAACCTCAGTACTATTGATATTTTGAACTGAATAGCTCTTTATTGAGGGGGCAGCCCTGTACACTGTAGGATGTTTAGCAGCATTGCTGGCTTCTATGCACTAAATATCAGCAACACCTTGGCAAGTCAAAAAGGTTCCAGACACTGCTAAAAATCCTCTGGGAGGTAAAATCGCCCCTGGTTGAGAACCAATGTCCTAAAGGAAGCTTTGCATAAGTGCATCAAAAGACATGTACAAGAATGTTCAGAGTAGTACTGTTGGTAATAGAAAAAAAAAAAAAGTGGAAAAATCAAAATGTTTACCAACACAAGAATGGGAAAATTAATTAATGTACATTCTTAAGATGTAAGGGCATTAGTGAAATTGCCTGACAACTTCATGCAACAAAATGAATGGATTTTAGGAACATAATTTAGATGATCAAAGCAAGTCAAAGAAAAATACATGATTTCTTTTTATGTGAAACTCAAAAACAAGCAACATAAAATAGTACCTTGCTTTGAATTACAAAAAAAGCATGTTAAAATGACAAAGAAAGGCAAGGGAACAGTAACCACAAGATTCAGGATAATGGTTACCTTTCTGGGACAGGAAAGGTATTCAAACATGGAGAAGCAACAAGAAATTTTAAAGGCAATGGTAATATCCCATTTCCTAAACCGCGTGCTTGGTATTTGTTGTATTTCCTATACCCTACATAATATATATAGATAGATATTAAACCCATTCTATATTTAATAACAACAAAAATAAAAATAAATGATAAAAAAAAACCCCACCCCACCATTTTAGGCAGAATGCTAAGCTAGTTCCTCTGGTTCATATCCCCTGGTATCTATACCTTGTATATGCTAAGAGTAACCCTACTTTGAAAATCCAAAATCTGAAATGCTCCAAAATGTAAAACTTTCTGTGTGCTGACAGGACATTCAAAGGAAATGCTCATTTAAGCACTTTGAATTTCAGATTAGGAATGCTCAACTGGTATACTGCAAATATTCCAAAATCAAAAAAAAAATCTTAAATCCAAAACATTTCTGGTTCCAAGCATTCTCAATAAGGGATACTCAATCTGCATAATCTCCCTTTGAAGGTAGGTAGAACCCATAACTTGCTTCTAACTAATGGAATATGGCAAAAGTGATAGAATTTTGAAAATATAGTTTAAGTTCCTAATTTACAGACTATATTAATTAGTAAAAAGGGACATCATTCAGAGCAGGCATCCTCAAACTATGGCCCACGGGCCACATCTAGCACATTTATCCAGCCCTCTGGGTGTTTTTGCCACCGCTGCCTGTCCTGTTTCGCAGCCTACTCGTCCCGGGCCAGCAGTGCGCACTCTCCAACGGTCTGAGGGACAGTGAACTGACCCCCTGTTTAAAAAGTTTGAGGACTCCTCATTCAGAGTGAATTTGACCTAATCACGTGAGCCCATTAAAAGAAGGTCTAGAAAGTAAGAGATTCTCTCGCTGGCCTGGAAGAAGCAAGCTTCCACAAGTTCTACAGGCACAGGAAATTAATTCTTCAAGAAGTACATGAGCTTAGGAAAGAACCCTGAGGCTCCTTGAACCTCAGATGAGGATTGGCCCTGGTGACACCTTGACTGCAGTTTTGTGACACCACAAGCAGGGGACCCAGCCAAACCATGCCTGGACTTCTGACCCACAGAAACTGAAATAGTAACCGGGTGTTATTTTAAGCCACTAAGTTTGTGGTAATTTGTTACACAGCACAGAAAGCCAATATAAACACTTTTAATAATTTTTATTCCTAACAAGCAAGACAATTAATTCTACCATTAATCACTGTATTGTGAAATTAAATATCTAATATTTGCTATAGGGTCCTGAAAAGCACAGAATTTTGAACTTCTCTTGTAAAGTTTGGCTGAAGCAGGCAAAACACATGATTTTCAGAGCTGTGCAATCTCAGGTATGGATATCAGGAAATAAAAGGGTAGCCAATGCTTGTATTTACTCAGTTAAAAAGACAGAAAGCTACTGTCAAATCCACATTTCCCAAATGAACACATTTAAAAAAAATCCTCAAAAAACCCAGTAAAATCAGAAATGTGGGAAGTTTCCAATGATTGCAGGATCATAATGCCTTTCCTTCCAGACTCAAGTGAAGAATCATTTTCTGGTTTTTTTTTTAGTCCTCAAAGCACAGTGTTGGCCACACAGCAAATGCTTATGATTTGTTGAATAAAAGAACTCCATTCCAACAAACAAAATTCGAGGTTGAATCACCTACCCAAGGTCACACTGTGTTCACAGCAGAACCAAGACTAAGGAAGAGCCTCTTATTTGTCAATCAAGTGCTTTCTTCCTATGTCAGAATTCAGTCCTTCATTATTGTCAAGGCACATTAAACATACATACCACACAAATCATTAAAAGAGTATTAAATACTCAATAGAATTTTTCATAAAACTAATTTCACCTGCTTCACTGTTTTGTGAGCCTGTTTCACAGTTCTTGTCATTTAATGTACTCAAAGATTAACTATTTTCTGCTCCACATAAACTAGAAAATGAAATAATTCTATTGATCTGAGCCAATAACTATATCTTTTAATTTTGTGAGGCATTTATTAGCCTAACATAGGAAACAACAACCTTTTCACAGAATAATCAAGAGGAAAGAACAATAGTTAACATCACCCTTTAAAATGGAAAGGGTCAGACAATTGACTTGTTTGGGAAAAAAAAAAAAATGGAAAGGAGCCTATATTCCTGTTTTAAATAGCCATCAATCAATCCTAGCATTAAAAAAAAAAAAAAAATCACACTTCAAAAAATATGTGCCTTACAACAGTATCTTTTGTGACATGTTTATTCTTTGTTCTACTTTGAAGCATTTATTTCGGGATGACCCCACCATTAAGAATATTTTAGATATGTTATAAATGTATGAAAACAGGTACAAAAAGTTTTATGATCCCGTTTCTATATATAATTTTTAAAGTTGTGTGACAATATTTTTAAAATGTTTAATGTTGCTTATATAAACTTTTTAAATTTTAAGGGGGAAAACCCTTGCATTAATATAGAAAATGCTCATTTTAGGGAATAGGGTCTTACTTAGGAATATAACTAAATTCAAGGAAACATAAGAAATATTAAGGGTCTGCCCTCTCTGCAAACCTTTCATTTCCTTGGCAGAGCAAACAGAAAGGTAGCTAGCTGACTGTTGATTTTGGAGTGGGAGGATATCACAGAAGGGTACAAAGTGGGACACTAGAATCCTAGGTAATTTTTTCATTATCTATAAAGCAAAAAACTCCAGTTACTTAGTAAGTAGCTGCCAGGTATGAGATGAAGCCAGGGATTTATGTTTGATGGTGGTACTGACCCAGGTTGGGATTATTTTTTTTTTTAACTTTATTTTTTTATTTTTTCCAGCATATTATGGGGTAGGTTGGGATCTTACTAGTAAGAATCTGGAGAGGGAAGGTCCCATCTCCACACCACTTATCCTTTCTGCATGGATTCAGCAATCTTCTTCACATGTGGTACCCAGTACTTTACAAAGAGAAAATGATAAGTTTTCATCAATCTATGAATGTTAAAAAGGGGGAAGAATTAAGGGTTTATTTCCATGACCTATTTGTTACTTTGATATCACCAAATATACATATCAGCAGGTTTCTCAAGGTAGTTAAAATAGGGTAACCCAAAAAGAAAAGGGAGAGAATTCTCACATAAGTCATCATCACCAAGGGAGAATTAAGAGAACTTACTGTTAAGGAAGCAATCCCTTTGTGATAGAATTTTAAAGACTCAGCAATGCAAGAAAGTGCTGAACTATAATTCTCCTCTTGCAACCCGGTGAGACACTGTTCGGCATGTGAGAACTCCTTCAAACTATTCAGCCAGAAGTAGAAGTGTTCTGAGGCAACCTGAGTCAGCAAGCTCTGATAAAGCTCTCTGGCCATGTCATGATTACCCTAAAAAAAGAAAAAGAAATTAAAAAACCAAAAGCAAAGAAAAAAGAAATATTAGGGGCACATGGCGAGGTCTGTACGTTTGAAAGAGTTGATGCAGCAGCTGTAAGAGAAACCCAAACCTTGGATAAGTATAAACAATTGGTCTTCATATTATATAATTTTTGGAGAGTCAGTCTAAATATTTCCTCAGAGAATATATGCTGAGCTGCTTTTTATGTAACATAATGCTTAAAGTTCTTTACTAAAACAGTTGCAAAGAAAAAAGAAATGGAGTTTTAGTCCAAACTGTAGAAAGTATATAAATACTTATTGTATATCATTCTGGATGAGCTATTGAGTGTGGTGAGGAAAACCCCAAGGGGAAAAGGGGGTTGTTGGGTGTAATGTAAATGCCATTTAATGCCTGGAGCCTGGGACGCTCAATGTTCCGCAATATTCCTTCCCTATTTGAAAAACAATGGAAAATTGAGAACGTGTGCTTCAATCACCTATAGTCATGCTGCTCAAACTTTGTTCTTGGGACTTATCCCCAAAGGATTTCTGTACTAGCCAAGGTCTGTATTTCCCTTCTCTCAAACAGAATTATTAAAAATTGTTAGGCTTTCCATATGGCTGAGAGGAGCACAGCATACTAAACCTTCTCCATTTGTACTTGAGAACGATTAGGCTGGGGTGAGAAAGAGAAGATGTGGTCGTGTTACTGATACAGAAGGACAGAAACAGAGGGCGTGGCAGGTGGCCTAGGTTATGACAAAACAGGGCAAAATGAAAGGGGCACTAACAACCTACAGCCAGGAAGAGCTCAGATTTTAACTTCCTCCTAACACTGATAAATACCAATGACATATATACTGTGCTTTTATGAGGAAAGTTAAAAATCAGGGCCTTTCCTTCACCATCTTTAGAACCCATGACTAAAACCTACTTCCATCTTTAGTTTTGCCTGTGACTAATAATCATACAACCTAAGGTATATGCCCCTGACGTTTCCACCAACCCAGTTCACTTAGAAGGGTGATGCATACCATTCTGGAAGCCTGTCTGGCAATGCGGTACACGGTCCACCCATTGGAGACACTTTCAAGCTGCTGCTTAATGACCGCCTTTATTTCAGCAGACAATGCCTTCTGACTTGCTACAAAAATCACAGTAGCCAAACTCACCTAGCATGGGGCAAGAAGAAAATCAAGAAAATCATTTTACCCAATGGCACAGATAACTTACCCAAATGAGAGGAAAACGAATTAGAGCTCATTTAAAAAGAAGAAAATGTCTTCCGTTGACATTTTTCATTTTGAAGTCATTAAATAATTTATTCTAGTCACTCAGAGCACTGTTGATAATGCAAATAATTAGAAGCAATGTTCATAAATATGGATAAATTATATAATTATGTAATTTTACTATGTATCAGTAAAATGTATAAACTACAGATATACTTATCAATATAGATGATAAACAAAATAGGCAAAAATGTTCAAAATGCAAAAGACTGCATGTAGTATGACACATTTACATAAAGTTAAAGATATGTAAAATAATACTGCATATTACTTAGGAATATATACTTAGGTAGTAAAAGAATAACATCCATGGGAATGATAAATGCCAAATTCAGGATAGTGGTTACATCTGAGAGAAGGGAGGAGATGCTATATGGGAGAAACACAGGGGGCTTCAACTGCATTGGTAATACTTTTTATTTTTCAGGTGTTTTTTTTTTTTTTTTTTTTTTTTTTTTTATACACAGGGTCTTGCTATGTGGCCCAGGCTGGTCTCAAAACACCTGTCCTCAAGCAATCCTCCCACTTTGGCATCCCAAAGTGCCAGGATTACAGGCATGAGCCACCACACCCAGCCTGGTAATATTTAATACCTTTTTCTTAAGCTAGGTGTTGGATGCAAGAGTTTTCACTGTATTATTCCTTAGATTTTTTTTTGAATTTTGTTTTATAATTTAAAATTACATTAAAGTAGTACCCACAAAAAGGGATACAAAACATTAGTTCAACATGTCACTGCAATAAAAAATAAACCTGGCTGCCTTTTAATATACCAATGCTAGGCTGGGCGTCGTGGCTCACACCTGTAATCCTAGCACTCTGGGAGGCTGAGACGGGAGGACTGCTTGAGCTCAGGAGTTCGAGACCAGCCTGAGCAAGAACAAGATCCCTGTCTTTACTAAAAATAGAGAAATTAGCTAGAAAAATTAGCTGGGTGGCATGGTACACTCCTGTAGTCCCAGCTACTGAGAATGCTGAGACAAGAGGATCTCCTGAGCCCAGGAGTTTAAGGTTGTGGTGAGCTATGAAGATACCACTGTAGTCTAGCCAGTTGTTGGCTCTAGCCAGTTCTTCAGGCAACAGAGCTAGAAGAACCTGTCTCAAAAAACAAACAAAAACCCAATACTAAATCACACAAAGATGCATACATATTGTGATAACTGTATGAAGTCATTCCCATGACCACAGCAATTTGGTTATTAGGGTAACTTTTTCTGACAGCAACTGACAAGATGGGTCAATCTTTTACACAATGCCTTCTGGAGGATTACATACAAAACAGACTGAATAAGTTATTTCATTATGCTTTTTCCCAAGCTCTAGATTCAGATGAATAGAAACAATATGCAATGGCAATCTCATAGCTTTCATTAATTTATGATTATTTAGACTGAAGCCTACTCTCAGCCTTGGAGAACATTCAACTACACATTTTATAGCTTCCATTGCTTCAGTTTCTTTCTAAGCATCCACCTTTCCTAATCCCAAGAGTCTATAAAAGTCTAAATTGGATCCTAAATAGCTAAAGAGTTCCTAGAATGGATAACAGGAATTTGAGCTAATTTATGGTTATTATCATCATTAGATTTTTAAACTTACATCTTCTGAAGAACAAAACAGTGATTAGTTCATTATTTATTTGCTTTGTATACAAGATAAAAAAAAACCCCTAATTTTCATTTTGTCATTCATAATAAATGAAGAACATTAGACTGAAGGCTTTGTCTATACTAAGCTGATCTGACAGGACTTAAAAAGCAGTTTTAGGTGTGAACAAAACACTTTCTAAATCAAAAGTGAAAACACTAAAAAGCTCACATCGCCAATTCTATTTTGACTTCAGCATGCTCTTGGTCTTATATAATTACTTTAACCTATTTGTTTTGCTTTTTAAGTCAAGTCAAACAGCAGTGTTGACTTTTTAAAGTAATTCCCATTAGGCCAGATCCGAGTCATCCAAAGCAGATGCAAAAAGTGGCTTTTTTTACCAGCAGTTCTTGTTGCTTGTCTGTGGCTGATCGTCCGATCACCTTGTAGAGCTCCGTGAGGTCGCCGAGCATCCCGTCGCCCAGCACTGGCAGCTGCATGGCAATGGCAGCCAGGCAGTGGCACATCAGGATCCGGGCAGCATCCTGGGCACCGTGCAACTGAGTCAACAGGGTTTCAACCACTGACTGGCTGAGGTGAGGCCTGCCCTTGGCCAACTTCACCATGCAATTTAGAGCAATCTGTACACCAACAAGAAAATGGACTAAATTACACTTTGAAGGTGCTAAGTGAAGTTTTGAATAGAAGAACTCTGTAAAAGTTACTGGGAAAAATTAAGGGTGTGGTTTTTTTTTTGTAGGCATAACATTTTTCTTAGCAAGAAGCACCTGATGTACTGAATCTTGAACATTAGAGTTTGTGAAGTACGCAATGTCTGAAAGAACAAATCAGAACTGTACATCACTCATTTCAATCTAGGACTTAAAAAAGACAAGACGAAAATCCTAAGGAATAATGTCGAAGAGGCAAATATATGCCAAACTGATGTCACCATTACTGTATTTTTTGTTATTTTTCAAGAACTGCTTCTGAAGTGTGGTTTGTGTACTGCCTATGCCAGCATCTCCCAGAATGGCAATTAAAATATAGATTCTAAAGCCCCAACCGTTCCAAACTTAATAAATTAACTTTTTTTGGGGGGGAGGGAGACAATTTTTCCATGAATGGGGTGGGGGCGGGGAGGATGGCAAGTGATGGGGAGTGGCTGTGAACAGCTTCACTTGCACCTCCTGCTGCGCAGCCTGGATCCTGACAGTCCACGGCCTGGGGCTTGGCAACTGTAGCTCTAGGTGACTCCAAATACACTGAAATGGGGGAAAGGCTTCTAATTTTCTCTTACTTCCCAACTGGCTTTAGAACCTCTACTTAGGCCTCATTCTGGGCATCACTAATATCTCAGCCAACAAAATCAGAAACCCAGAAATATTCTTACTTTTACATAGTCATCAGATTCTGTCAAGTCTCTAATATCCACCATTATCTCCTTTCCATAAAGCTCTCCTTAATTCCAATATCTTGAAAAGATGGGCCCATCGATCCATCCTTCACACTGCAACCATGGAGCTATCAGTGTGGCGTTAGTAACACATCATAAACTTTAGAGTCTGATGGATGCAGGGTTGACTTCAGCTTGGCCCTTATTAGTGAGGTGGCTTTGAATAAGGTATTTTCTCTCTCTGAGACTTAATTTTCTGATGAGTATAAGAGGGAAACAAATTTCATTATCTGGTTATTGAAAGATTGAAGGAAATGTATATACATGCCTTCAACAAACTTTGGCCCATAATAGACACTCAAATAAATAACAATAATAATTACAACAAAGGTCAGAGCATGTCTATTACTTTAAAATTCTATTATCTCCTCACCACCCACAGAATCAAGTCCATGTTCCTTAGCATGATATCGTATATCCTCTACGACTGAGCTGCAAACTACTGTGTTTCCCCAGAAATAAGACAGGGTCTTATATTTATTCTTCCTCAAGAAGACACCCTAGGGCTTATTTTCAGGGGATGTGTTATTTTTTTTTTAAGTACGATACAACAATCTACATTGATTCAAATATAGTTAAGTCATCTTCTTCTGGAACATCATCATAACTCTCCAAACCCCGAATTCCATCCTGAATTTATTGCGACTCTATTTCCTTTAGAACCATTGGACCCAATCTCTCATGTCGAGCAACAGAGCTCTCATGGTGCAGATGAGAAGGGCTGCTCATCTTCTTCACTGCTCTACAACGAAATGCATGGGTTGTGCAGATAGGCTGTGTAGCCACGCCCATCACTAAGTCTTATTTTCGGGGTAGGGCGTATATTGCACAAATGTTTAGAAATCCTGCTAGGGCTTACTTTATGGGTAGGTCTTATTTTGGGGGAAACATGGTACTTTCCAATCTCATATCATGTCATCCAGCCACAGTGGGTTCCTCACCAATCTTCCAACATTTCACAGGTATGTTTCTGCTTTCAAGTCTTGTATAAAGGTAGACCCTTGGGCTCAAACACTCTTTCCTAATTACTGACATTCTATCCTGTCTTTCAAAGCTTAACTCATGTGACATCTACTTGTTGAAGTCTTTCCTAATATCCTTAGTTGAAATTAATCACTTCCAACTCTGTCCTCTCATTAGAATTGTACTTCTGTTTGTACAAAACAAAAAACAAAACATATTGCATTCTGCTTGGTATTACAGTCCCTTATACGTATGCTGGTATCCTACTCTACATGGGAAGGTCCTCCAACACAGAGACCTTGCTTCATCATCTAAATACGTCCTACTGTGCTGAGTCTATCAACATCTACAATTGTCAGGAAAAGGATTTGTTTGTGATTTTAAAAATATTTTTAAATATATTGTAATTCCAAGGGGATTCTAAGGATGCCCTCAGAATGGTTTTGCCAACACATGTTGCTTACTTTCTTTCTCCACTTCTTGATTAACAGCTTTTATTTAATGGTATTACTATCTTTATTGTTCATCACTACGACCACATCACACCTTTTCTTAACATGCCATGAGACATAATTTCCTTTAAATCATATTTTAGACAAGCTAAAGTTCTTACATTCTCCAACACCTAACAGGTTTTTTTTTTTACTTCTACTGTGCTTTTCCTTATTATTAATTTTGCACCATCCCAGATTATATTTGACGTTTCACTCTAATAAGAGTAGTCCCATTTCACATTTTTAAAATCTTAAATATCTCTAAGATAATTTCCTGTAATTAAGTGAAGGTGAGAATTCTTTATAATTCTTCCCTTGACTTATAAACTAGGGCTTCTAACTCAAGAAATTAACAAACACACATTTATAAGTTGAGCTATAGTCATTTCATCAGTTTTTTGTGGTATTATCAGTGTTACTTCAGATTAACACTTCTAAGAATATAGGAGCTCTGCCTATTTAACTTAGCTTTATATTGTCTAAGACTATCATATGTATCTATCACAACTTAAGAAGTACTGTCAGCAGATGGCAAAATAGGCCAAAGTTTAGATTTCTACTTTGTCTACCTTTAGTGATAGTAAAAAAGCCAGTTTTCAAAGTGAAGATCAAGGGCAAATGTATGCTTAAGCCAGGGGTCGACAAACTATTTGTCTGTAGGCCAAATCTAGCCCCCCCAAAAAACTTATTTTGTTAAGTAAGTTTTTATTGGAACACAGACATGTCCCCCTACTCTTAACACTGCCCATGGCTGTTTTTGCCCTACAATGGCAGAACTGAGTAGCTGTGACAGAGAGCATATGGCCTACAAAATTTAAAATACTATCTGACCCTTGACAGAAAGATTGCTAACCCTAGTTTAGGCAATGACAGCAGACATTATATTAAAATGAGTGAAGTTTTCACCTTTAATGTAGCTTGAGCACCTGGACTATCATCTTGACTACAAAGGACCAGAAGGGATTCCAGGCCAAAGACAGCATCTTGTTCCAGTGCCAAAAGATCTAGAAGAATAACACTAAGTTTCATGGTGGCCAAGTAGAAGGGATTAAACACATACACACATGTGCATGGAAGAAAAAAACATTAAGGAGTCTAAGATATAGAAAACACTTAAATGCATAAAGCTAACCTTCCTTTAAAAAGCACACGTGGCATTACTTCTAAAATGTAAAGGCTTATCTTCAGACATCATTTCTACCACTTTATTAAAGATTATAAAAATATACACGTTAAATCAAGAGCTAACGCCACAATGCTATAAATAAATAACAAAACAGAAATAGTGTCATCAGCTTAGCTAAAGGAAAATACTAAGAACAGCAAACTATGCAGTAAGTGCTAATCTCCCTAATCAGACATAAATTACGCAGGTCCATTTTCACCTAGAATGTAACAGTTTTTAGCTTCCAATGAAAGCTGAACTACTTTTAGGAAGAAATAAGGACCCTACATAATCTTATTAATGTTTTAAGTCTGATCATAAAGAATGAAATCCTTAGATGTCTTACATAATAGCAGTACTAGAGCATCTTTTCACTACCATAGGGCTAAGTTTTCTCTGGAGGGCCTAGAAAGTTCTGAATGTATTAGTTAACCATATTTAGGTTAACACACGAGAGCTTTGAGAATGTACAGCAGTTTCTATGTTACATGGTAGAAAATACTCTTTAATATGCCAAAAGTAAAACAGGTTTAATTATTCCAAGCAGAATCAACATACAACTTATAGAAATGCTTCCTGAGTAGGAGCTTGGAGAACAACATAAAGGCTCGTGAAGGTCAGAGTGCTAGAAAAAAAAATGTACTAGGAACAAGCAGTGCTCAAGGCTAGTTGGGATAAGAGGAACTGCTGAGCTTGTGATCCTTAATAAAGATCAAAATAAGCCCTGAAACAGATGGAATGTCCAAAATGCATTTCCTGTTCTTGAACACAGGCATGGAATTTTTCAAGTCTTTCAGTCAAAAGATGTTAGTTACACGATAAAATATGTGCCATTATTTTCTATGCATGTCCTCCTTGACTATGCAAATCAGTTTAATGCTACATATATCTAGAGATAAGTTTGTGAAAATTTAACTCACACTGCTCTGTTAATTTACTTGCCTCTACTTGAAAGGACTTGTTACTGAAGTCCCTTGATAATTTAAGGTTTTCTAGGTTTCTGTATACGTGAACCCATTGCCTTACACACAGGGGTAGCGTCCTAAGTAACCCCTGTCCATAACCCTACACTAGCAAAGGTAAGCAGCAGAAGGAAATGGGCAATGCTCCATAAAACCTTTCAATTCCATAATCCCAGTCCCAAGGTCCTGTCCTCATACTTGTATTATTTTTCACAAGGATTAAAGCAGCCTTGAGAAAGCTTGCTCTAAGAACTGTTCGGAAGGAGGCAATCTGTGGATCAATGCACACAGGCTAAAAATACTAAGGGATTAAAAAAACCGAACAGCATTCTCTCCAAGCTCTAATAAAAAATTTACATATAATATCAGTCCTGATCATGCTTACCTTTATCTTGACAAGAGACAGTTATATTGGTTAGGACTCTCACTCCATGAGCTGCGATGCCCCTGTTATTATGGTAACAGCATTCTTGGGCTAATTTGACTAAATCAGAGGATCTGGGGGAAGAACTCACATTTCCTAAACAAGCAGAGAGAAGCAGTACATATTGTAATTCACTCGAACAGTTCAAAGGCAGTTCAGCATAAAGGTTCAATTTTCTTAGTGTTATGAGACAATCTCTAACAATAAACTTTAACAATACTTCCTACTTTGATTCCATCATCAATATGCATCACCATGTCTCTTCCCCAGCCAAGGTACTTAGAAAACACATGTGCCAATAGTTCTGTAATGACTAAGATCTAACATCAACACAAGACTTTCCCATAAAAATATTAATAGAAATTGATGAAAAAACAGTATAAAAGCCAAAACAACTATAAGACTGTACCCTAGGAATTCAAATGTATTCTGATTAAAATGGATGTCATTATAGGTCTCCTGCCAGATAAAACCATACCTTCAAGAGAGGGAAGAAAAGAGAAACAAAACCTTTAAGTTTGCTTTTTTCCCACCTCAAATTGCTGGCATATATTTATACCTCAAAAGGTTTACATAAGAATTTATAATTTTAGAGCTGGAAAGGATTTGGGGATCATCTGATTCCACACTCTATTTTTTACAGAAGAAATCAAAGCCCAAAGATTTTAAGTACCATGCCATCAAGGTTATAAAACTTGCTAGTTGTATACTACTCTTGTGCTTTGTACCTTCAGTTCTATGCTACATTTTGCAGCAATTTTTTAAATTCACATTTGAAATTTTGTAACGTTAAGCCTTGTGTTATGAAAATTTAATTTATAGTAGAGAATCTCTATTCTTTCAAGAATAAGAAGGAGATTAAAGCTTGTTCAACCTTTTAGAAGAGTCTCTCATTCCTGTCTTCCTTTCCTCTGCTTAATTTTCCATGATTCCTGTCAACTTCAACCTTGTCTCTCATACCAAGGGTAACCATATTTTTTTGAGGCTGAAGGGACCTTATTAATAACTATTCTGACAGACACAAACCAATACTATCCTAGGCACTGTGGGACATGTGGTCGCTTTATTGATTTCTGGTTTACCATAAAACCACAAGCTCAGGTGAAATCCTGTGTTTTTTAAGACAGGCAATGCAGTAGAAAAACAAAACTATATGTTCATTTTTTCAAAACAATGAGAACTGTATTAATATTTTTTCCATTCTTTTTCTTGTCCATGTGATATGAACAACGCAAACTCATCTATACATTTACGAACATGTTTTATAAGTTGCTTTTTTCTTCTCAAGACGCACCATGGAAAACTTGGAAAAAAACAGAATAATTCAAAGAAAACAAAAATTATCCTAAATCTCACAGACCAGCATGACCTTATTGTTAACTTTCTGGAATATCTCTTTCGAATCTTTTTTCCACTATGAACACCAATACGCTTTAAAAATTCATATATAATCAGGATATGTAGATACTGGCCAATATACTGCTTTTAAAATATAATATTTGTGATCATTTTTCTATATTAACATTTTTAGGGATGATACTACTTTTAATTTAATTCTCACTTATTTAGGAATAATTTTCTAAGAAACTCATACGGTTTACAAGGTACAACAAATAGTAGATAAAGGTAAAAGGTTAGTAAAAGTTTCCCTTGTACTCAATGTTACCAGTTTCTTGTATATCATCCCAGAGTCTATAAATTTGCAAGCATATTTACTCCTTTCTTTTTCTTTTACACACTATTCTGCACCTTGCTTTACTTTCCTTTAAATATATCATGAAGTGTGTTCCACGCTGTGTATTCTTTTTAATAAATTGCATTGATTTTTATTGCAATGATGTCTCATAATTCTTTAATGAGTTCCATATTGATGGACCTTTTTATGCTATTATTACATCCTCTACTGATGGACAATATTTTGCTATTACATAAAATGATGCTGTGAATAATCTTATACATATGTCATTTGTCGATGTGTGAATAAATAAGCAGGATAAATTCCTAGAAGTGGAATTTCTGGGTCAGCTGTAATGTAATGCTTCCAACTCACCTATGCAGAGGTTTGATAATTTACATTCACACCAGCAATAAATGAGAGTGGCTGTTTACCCACAGCCTGTGGACACAGCATGTTTATCAAATTTCTGAATCACTGCCATTCTGATGGATTAAAGTTATTTCAGTGTTATAATTTACATTATATGGCAGGGAATCCCCTTCATTCAGTAAGTTAATTCATATGCTATTCAGCCAAAAGAAAGGACAACTAAATGTACATTATAGTTTTTTAATTAATTTGGTTCAAATTAACTGATTAGAAAAGGAAGCAATAGATTCCATAAAACTTGCACTAAAATGAAACAACAAAAAACTTTAGTCTTAAGTTTGTCAGGCAAGCAAGCTCCTCTCTGGACATTAATGAAGGCATTTTAGAGTTAATCTTCCTGAAAAGGCAACTAGGAAAGCATTATTGAACTGGGGTAAAGTTTTATTTTAATTATTTTCCAGAGAGCTAATGTGTACCTACAAGGAAACATATGACATTTGCTTTTAAAATTCACCACCACTTGGCCTTTGAAATGTACTTATCTTCAAAGGGCACTTGGAGTCAGAGATACACAAAAGCAAACCAGCTATTTCAGGCATCCTCAAAAATATTGTTTCACCCACATATAATCTGAAAAAAAGGGGACAAATCTAGAAAAATAATAATCTTGAGTTAAGATCAAGGATGCAAGATTTTACTACCATAGACATTAGTTAAGAAATTAGCTTCAAAGATATCACTAGCAAATAATGGAGTATGAGATTTTGAAACCTTCCCGGATTTTAAGGCTTTGTAGAGGAAATACTTAAAACATAAACATGGATAAAGGAATCAGCACATTATCCACATAGCATCTCCTTTCTCTTCCTTACCTGGAGCCATGCTGAAGTAATGTTTGATGGCGATGGTCCCGGACAGTGTGGAAAGGACAGACAACATCCCCAGTTTCAGGCTGTCATAAGGAATCTGGAGAGCACATTCACAGAGTGCCTGAAATACAGAAGAGAAATGCACACAGAAGTTAAAACATCTTCTAAACTGTCTACTACATTTAGGTTTTCTAGCTTTTATAAAAATTATATCTTAAGGTATTTTTTTCATGTTAAAAAATGTTAAGTCAAACTCTCAAACTCCATGGGGAGCCTAAGGAGACATAATAACCAAATGTAATAGGTATTTTGGTACAAAAAGAGGACATTGGGTAAAAAAACTAAAGAAACCTGAATAAAGTAGAAACTTCGGTAAATCGTTAACAATGTACCGATGCTGGTTCAATTATAACAAAATTACAGTACTATTAAATATTGTAAAATGTCAATAATAGGTGAAATGGTGTGGGAGATGTGGGACACTCTGTACTATCTTCTCAATTTTTCTGTAAATGTAAAACTGTTCTAAAACCCCCACCATATTTTGTTTACATTAAGAGATAGGAATATTATTTTGCATATGTGTATTTTTTAAAAATAACAGAGAATGTGGCATTATATGTAGTTTGTGAGGAGAGCTATTCTCCTCCCATTTCTGGTCATTTACTCTACTCCTAACTAAGGCAGTCTGAAATATTACCAAAAACAAAATGCTGATTTTTCTTTCAATGCAGTGAATACAAGTTCAGTGACTCTTGCCTTAATCCTGTGGCTATGACTTTGATCATATGACTACATGTAATATAGTCAAACAAGTGTCTTGCTAAACTCATTCCCATTTTCCCAAAAAGGTTCAGAAAACGATCAAAACTTAAAAGTCTTGTGGGGGGGGATTAAAAATACAATTCCAGCTGGGCGTGGTGGCTCACGCCTATAATCCTAGCACTCTGGGAGGCCCAGGCGGGCGGATTGCTCAAGGTCAGGAGTTCAGAAACCAGCCTGTGCAAGACTCCATCTCTACTAAAAACAGAAAGAAGTTAATTGACCAACTAAAAATATATATAGAAAAAATGAGCCGGGCATGGTGGCACATGCCTGTAGTCCCAGCTACTCGGGAGGCTGAGGCAGGAGGACCGCTTGAGCCCAGGAGTTTGAGGTTGCTGTGAGCTAGGCTGACCCCATGGCACTCTAACCTGGGCAACAGAGTGAGACTTTGTTTCAAAAAAATACAATTCCAGAAAGGGTTAAATTAACCAATAAATTTACTATGACCCCAACAAAAACAGCAACAAAATTTGGGGGGGGGGTGGGATTTAGATAATCTGGTTCTAAAGACCGCATGGAAAAATAAAAATCAGAAAATATCCAAAAAACTCTGACAATAGATTAAAAAACATATTAGCATTTAATATATGTTAATGGTACCTCAAATCACAAAGCTAATTTAATGAACACTGCAAGAACTGGCAAGTCAATTGAGTAAAAGAATCCCTATTTACTTTTTTATGGTAAACAAAAAACTTTTTTAAATCCAAGTAAGTGGTGATGACGGCCTGAACTAGAAGTTGGTGGCAGGAATGGAGACTAGAGGATGAATATGAGATCTATTTAGGAAGAGATTATATATGAGGGAATGAACAAGAAGAACTCAATGATTATTACAAAATTTCAAACCTACTGACCAGATTCCACTTGTGAAGACTGAAAAGTCATGGGGATATGCTAATTTCAGAGGAAGGACAGAAAACAAGAGTAGAAATGAAATCCAACAAGTATCCATCAGGCATTTGGAATTTAAGAGTAGCAGATTTTCAGTTAGAAGAATTCTGGCTCTGCCACTTACTATCTCTGTGATCTGAGCCAACTACTGACTCTCAACTTTTTTGTCTATAAAATGGGGGTAAATATTTATAAAGAATTGCTGGTTTTTAGGCCAGGCGTGGTGGCTCACGCCTGTAATCCTAGCACTCCGGGAGGCCGAGGCGGTCAGGAGTTTGAAACCAGCCTGAGCAAGAGTGAGACCCCGTCTCTATTATAAATAGAAAGAAATTAATTGGCTAACTAATATATATAGAAAATATTAGCTGGGCATGGTGGTGCATGCCTGTAGTCCCAGCTACTCGGGAGGCTGAGGCAGCAGGATTGCTTGAGTCCAGGAGTTTGAGGTTGCTGTGAGCGAGGCTGACGCCACGGCACTCACTCTAGCCTGGGCAATAACAGCGCAGACTCATGTCCAAAAAAAAAAAAAAAAAAAAAGAATTGCTGGTTTTCATGTAAAATATCTCCAGTAAAATATGCAAGACACTGGTTTCCACTGGGCAAAGGAGCTGTGTGGACAGAAGAATAATAAACGGGAAATATTCACTACGCATTTTTTTGTAGTTTGGAATTTGACATGAATGTATCTGCATTAAAAACCTGAATTAAATTAAAAATCAAATATAAGTGGGGTGATGCCAATTGTCTTGTAAGATTAAATAGCCACCAAAAGTCAAAGTGCTGTGCAACCCCATATAAGCTACTATGCTAAGAGTATGCAGAAGCTTGGGTAAAAAGGTAGACTGTTGAAGGCGCCACCTGGCATTAAGGAAGACCATCAGAATGCTGGAGAAAAAATGGAAGAAAGCAGAGGGTCAGGGACTCAACTCTGAGGAAAAGGGGCGTGAAGAATACAGAGAAGGTATAGTTTAGAGAGTGGAAAGAATGACTAAGGACAGTTAAGTGTCAAAGAGGCCAAGAGAAGGGGCAGGTTGACAGTGTCAAATATATTAAGAAGCAAAGATGATAAAGGAAGAAAAAGCTTCTGGCTTTAGCTCTAAGAACACTGGTGACCTTTTTTATTGAGACAGAGTCTCGTTTTGTTGCCCAGGCTAGAATCAGTGCCGTGGTGTCAGCCTCGCTAACAGCAACCTCAAACTCCTGGGCTCAAGTGATCCTCCTGCCTCAGCCTCCCGAGTAGCTGGGACTAATGCACCACCATGCCCAGCTAATTTTTTCTATATACATTAGTTGGCCAATTAATTTCTTTCTATTAATAGTAGAGACGGGGTCTCACTCTTGCTCAGGCTGGTTTCAAACTCCTGACCTTGAGCAATCCGCCCGCCTCGGCCTCCCAGAGTGCTAGGATTACAGGCGTGAGCCCACCCCACCACGCCGGGCCAACACTGGTGATCTTTTAAGTACCTGGGCAAAGTGATAGGACAAGAGATCTAAATGCAAATACATAAAAGAAAGAGTAGGGGATGAAGAAATAAAACCAGATATAGATGCTGTTTTTGACATTCAAAAAAAGGCATTTTTAAAAAAGTGATTTTTAGTTATTAATATTATAGTTTTTATTTATTTATTCAAATAGGCTATTTCTATTTGTTCACATTTTGTTGCCTAAATTGTCCTGCCTTGTACTGTTAATTAGCTTGTGTTTAGGACTAGTATCCTCAACCAGACAGCCCCAGAGGTCTGTGTCCTATATTTATATGTTTTACAAATTATGTCTTAGATTGCTCGGTGTATAATAGACATTTAGACTTCTGTGATAATCAAAAAGGCAAGGGAGACATTTTATACAAGATAATAACATAAATAATTTTAAAGAATAATTTTATCATTTGAAAAATCAAACTAGAAAATCTTATGATAAAATTATTTATAATGTTATCTTCTGACGTCTGAGACCTAGCACATTACTGGGTACCTAAAATGGTCTTAGCTAATACACACAGATTTAAAAGCTCATTAATTCAAATCCATAAGCATAATAAAGCAAATCATAAAGTTCCCCAGAGACAGCACATCAATCATATTTCACTGATGAAATCGGCTTCAAGTTTCTGTTTCAAGAACATTCCCTATTACAGAATTATTCTTACCAGGGCCATTTTTCACATCAAAAAAAGGGAAAACTATCTCGTCAAATGGAGTCCCCTTTCTCACTAACCACCACTGCCTTCCTTCAGTATTTGGTCTGAATTTCTCTCTATGCTAGCTTAGCTCACTGTTCAACTAGAGCCCCTGGCCTGAATTACTATTTTCTGGGTCAGTCCCTAAATAAGGGATTCTTCTCTACTCTGGTATGGGACTGGTCGCCAGGGATGTGTTCCAGAAAAGCACAGTAAAAAGTGGTTTATAATATTTAAAGAAAAATGTTATGTTTGGAATATTATGTCAGAGACATAAGACATCTAAATTTTCTATGTCTCCATTATACTACAAAGGAAAAGATTAAAAGATAGAATTAAAATACATGACAATACATAAAAGTTCAGTATGATGTAAATGAAGTTCAAGTATGTTCTAAGGTCCCTGTAGGAGATTTAACTGTAGACTTTGATAAGAATAATTATGGTTGTTTTCATTTCTAGAATAACTAAAAAGAATATTAAAATACTGCAAACTTCCAGACTATTCAAAGGAAAAGGAATGGTAAGATATTATAAACAATCAATATAGAAAGCAGCCCTCCTTTCCCAAAGAGTGATAAAGAACTGGGGAAACATACAGAAAGCAAAAAATAAGATGGCAGATTTAAACTCTAATGCACAATAAATCACAATAGGGCCAGGCATGGGGGTTCACGCCTGTAATCCTAGCACTCTGGGAGGCCGAGGCGGGAGGATCGCTCGAGGTCAGGAGTTTGAAACTAGCCTGAGCAAGAGCGAGACCCCGTCTCTACTATAAATAGAAAGAAATTAGCCGGACAACAAACATAGAAAAAATTAGCCGGGCATGGTGGCGCATGCCTGTAGTCCCAGCTACTCGGGAGGCTGAGGCAGAAAGATGGCTTGAGCCCAGGAGATTGAGGTTGCTGTGAGCTAGGCTGACGTCACGGCACTCATTCTAGCCTGGGCAACAAAGCGAGACTGTGTCTCAAAAAAATAAATAAATAAATAAATCACAATAAATACAAATGAACCAAATGCTCCATTTTAAAATGACACACTACTAGGTTGGATTAAAAATAATCCAATTAAATACAGTTTATAAGAGATATCTGAAACATAAAGATATCTAAAGATTGAAAGTAAAAAGATAGCAAACAATCTACCATGTAAATATATCCAGTAGAATGCTGAAGTAGCTATATTAATATCAGACAAAATAAACTAAGGCAAGAAACCTAAATAAGGAGAAAGATTTAACATGTTCATGCATTGGAAGACTTAAAATTGTAAAGATATCAATTTCTCACAAACTGATCTTTGTATTCAATGCAATCCCAGTCCAACTGTCAAGTTTTTTGGTGGACTTGACCAGCTGATTCTGAAATTTATGTAGAATTGTCAAGGACCAGCCATGTATGAGTAGTCAAAAGATATTAAAAAAAACCAAAACTACAAGTCAACAGAAAAATAGGCAAAAGACTTGAATAGTCATGTGATAAAAGAGGAAATCCAAATGGTCAATAAACATATAAAAAAGATGTTCAATATTTTTAGTAATCAAGGAATTACAAATAAAAGCTACCACTTCTAAACTGGCAAAAGTTTAAGTCTGATAATTTTATGTATTGGCAAGTAGGTGTATTAATGGATACTCTCATGAAACAGGAATGTAAATTGGTTCAATCACTTTGGAAAGCAGTTTGACATTATCTAGTAAAGCTGAAAACACACACATTCTGTAAGTCAGAAATTTCATTCCTATACACTCTAAAGAAACTCTTGCATGTATGTACCAGGAGATAAAGAGAAGAATGCTCACAGCAGCATTGTTTATAACAACCCCATGTTGGAAATAGCCCATGAAGAACAAATAAACTGTGGTCCATCCACACAATGGATTACTATATAGCAATTAAAGGGAAAAAACATACAACTGCATGGTTGAGTCTCACCAGAATAATGCTCAACAAAAGAAGCAAAAACAAAACTAAACAATATTCTTTAGGGAGACACAGAGAGATGGCAAAACTATTTTTTCTTTTTTTGGCAAAACTATTAAGAAGAGCAAACAAATGATTATCACGAAAGTCAAAGTAGTGGTTTCCTCTGGGTAATGTGAAGTTCTAATCAGGAAGGACCATGAAAGGTAAGGAAGCCCTCAGGGTTCTGTGACCCTGCAATGTTCTGTTTCTGCTGGGATGGTGGCTAGATGGGTTTTTCACTTAAAATTACTTAAACTATTAAATATACATTTTATATTTCTGTGTGATCTATCTCACAATAAGAAAAAATGACAATGAGTAACACAGTGCTTCTCATTGATCATTCTAAATAACTGGGTTTGGTTCTGTGCATGAATTCCCTAAAATGACTAAAGTGACTGAGCACATTCTCTTCTTGGAAAGACAGTACTGTTCAGTAGAAAAAGCACTAGGACAGAAGATCAAAGGACAGAAGCCCTCTTAATTAAAGTCTTAATTAAGTTCTCTTAAGAAGCTCTCTTAAGCATATTAAGTCTCTCTGAATCCTAATTGCTTATCTATTAAATGCAGATTGAACAAGTACCCTCATCTCTTGGGATATTTGTAAGTACCAAATCATAATGTAGTATATTAAAACATGTTTAGAAAACTGCAAACAGAAAAACAAACAGGGAGGCTTAGTTTTCATAATCTGAAATTCAAAGATTTTTGTTATACTGGAGCCATGATGATGCTAAGAGATCAAAATAAAATCCACGAAGATGAAGGTCAAATTCTAACAATCTTCCATTTCACTTTAAATAGCATTATTTATAAGATAGTGTATCTGTTATTAGTAATGGGTAAACAAATACGGTTCTGTTTTGAGAAAAAATTAAAAAAATTAATTTAACCTAAGAAATGGCATAAAAGACGTTACATTAAAAGTCTAAAGAGAGAGAAATCTGCTCTTGTGTTTACAAAAGAAAAGCTAAGAATGTCTTTTGCTTTCCATGAGGAAAAATATAGTTTGCCAACTTACCTGTCGCCATTATAAATCATAGTACCTAAATTGTTCTCCCTAAATTGACTGAAGAAGACAGGAATAAAATAAACAAGCCTTCTCAATTAGCCTCAGTGCTGCTATGGGAAAATTAACAAGAAACTGAGAGGCAAGTCTCATTCACTAAAACAAACATCAACACTGAAAGATAGTTTTATGTATTATTTTGCCACTTACAAAATAATTTCTGCCACAAACATCAACAACACTCTTAGAAAAAGTTTTTCATAACCACACTTATGAAATGACAAAGACAATATAAAAATATAAGGCCAAACAATTTACTCTATTACAATGTTATATTATTTTTCTATGTAAAATATTAATGTTCACAGTCCTACATACCTGAATGTTCTCCCTATTCCAAGTATGTGGTGTTTTACTGGCAAGTAACTTCAGATCTTGAATAGCAAGTCTCTTTACTGCTTTCCTGGGGTCATTCTTCAAATACTGCAACAGAAGCTGAATCTATACAGGAAATAAGTCACTCCATGAACAATACTGCAACTGAAATTGTTAATATCATCAGATATGCAGTGTATTTTAGTGAAACTTATAAATTTGAGACAGGTCTCATTTCAAATCATAGCCCTGTCACCGAATAGCTCTGTGCCCATGTCTGGGCCTTTTTCTGCATGTGTAAAACACTACCATTTAACTTGTAAGGTTTTAGCACAGGACCTGGCATTTATAACAACAGATACTCAATCCTTTCTTTTCTTTACTGCCAACTTTGCACCCAGCCAGGTAACCCCCAACACTTCCTTTCCCTTAAGGGCTTCCAAGAATCACAGTGTGAATATAGAGTAGAAAAAAACCAAGTGAAAAGAAATTAAACCGATCTTTATCAGAGAAAGGGATCTTTTTTTTTTTTTTTTTTTTTTTGAGACAGAGTCTCGTCAGCCTCCGCTCCACAGCAACCTCAAATCCTGGAACTTCAACAGCAATCCCTGCTGCCTCAGTCCTCCC